AACCTCTATAATGTTTAGTATACTGTTTCTCTACACCTTTATTTGTCCAGTATTTTGCATTTTTATAGCTAAATATTCAAGTGCAGTTGGTTTTTTATTGGAGACTTTGTGGAGGAAGCTCCTCAAAGAGTTGAGAATACATTTTAAAAGAAAACCAGTCAATAAATATCTACAGTAAAGAGAGACAACAATACAGTGGTACCTTGGGTTACATACGCTTCAGATTACATATGCTTCAGGTTACAGACTCCACTAACCCAGAAATAGTACCTCGGGTTAAGAACTTTGCTTCAGGATGAGAACAGAAATCGTACTCTGGTGGCGCGGCGGCAGCAGGAGGCCCCATTAGCTAAAGTGGTGCTTCAGGTTAAGAACAGTTTCAGGTTAAGAACGGACATCCGGAATGAATTAAGTACTTAACCCGAGGTACCACTGTAATGGGTTTTAGCAATACTGTACTTACGAGTAAGTGATAGGGTATTTTGTGATGCAGTTCTCCAGCCAAGTAATGCGATGCAATACTAAAGTGTGCATTAAGATGCATATATTAGTGAAAACAATCTGTGTGTATGTGAGAGAAGAAATTTGCCCTTAAAATGTGGATGAATTTTCATCAAATGTGGAGAATTGAACAAGGTTGAAAAAATAAGAAACTGAGGGAAATCAGAACTAGATTCACCCTTCCTTACCAGCTGCACATGTATTCCTTCCATAGCCTCCAAGGACAATGGGACTTTTCATTGTCCAAGGGCAGAAAGGGAGCAGTGAACCTTGGATGACCTGAGTGATGGCAGTTCAGTATATGTGCAGCTAAAAATTTCTTGTCCTACCTGACAATACCACTCTCTTGGTGACATATACCGCTTTGTATAGGGAACCATGATGGGATATATGAGGTCTCTAAAGAGGCTATTGCTGCCAAGGAAATCCAGTTGACTGCAACCCCCTACTTTACCTACCTGAACCTCAACCCAGATAAACAGCCTGAGCCCCGGTGAGTGTCCATTGTGCTCCCTACTTCTTTCCTGGTTGAGGCACTGGCTAACCTGTGGTTCTTCAGTAGGAGAATCTCCATAGTCAAAATGCGTATGGACAATCCTGGCGTTTACTCCTTAGTTTGCCTTCATGTAGCTGGGACAGCAAGCCACCAAAGGCAGCACCAAAGGGGGTGGCACTGCCTACTCAAGGAAGGGAAGAAGAATACCACACAAAAGTAGGTTTACATCAGGGGTCAAGTTTAGAAAAGGAATCCCAAGAGCAGAGCGAGCAGTTCTTCATGTAACAGGAACCATCTTAGAAGAGGCATGCTCTGCTGAAGGGTGTGTGTGAATCACTTCCAAACTGGTGCCCACCATCTGTTATTTTTCCACATAATAGTGTTTGATAGGATGCATTTTCAATCACTTTTAATGGGGTTCTTTTTTATCTATGAAACTAAACAACTAATTGGTCATTAGTTTAAACTACTGGGTGTTAAGGCAAACAACAGGGAATCGGTATCATTTTCATGCCAGCTTGCTGGTGGTTTTGTTAAGACTGTTGAACTAAGGAGACTTTGAGGATGAGCCAGGAAGATAATTCTGCATTCTTATGTTCAGCTCTCTCCTCATTTCTCATCTCTTTGCTCTCCTAGACTAGATCCAGGCTTCACTTTTTCCTCCTTAAATAGCTCCCACATTGACCTGCTGAATGAAACGTGGCACTTTGGGGGCAGTGAACACAGCCGGAGATATCTGGCCAACATGGTGCAATGCTTCCCCAGTACCTGCATCCTGGACTCCAGTGGTCATCCTATCAGCTGGATCATCATGGAATCTCTGGGTACACTGAGACACGGCTACACCCTTCCATCCCACCGCCGGAGGGGCTACTCATCTATGGTGCAGAGGGCACAGGCCAGGCGTGTCCATGCAGCTGGCTTCCCTGTATATGGCCTTGTTGCCCTAGATAATACCCCCCAGCAGAAACTGCTGGTCTCCCTGGGCTTCCAGAGATTATCTGAACTGTGTCATTACTGCATCCATTCTCCAGCTTCTCAGTGAGAGGAGGAGAGTGCAACAGTCGTTTTCCAGGATCATAGAATCATAGAGTTGGAAGAGACCACAAGGGCCATCGAGTCCAACCCCCTGCCAAGCAGGAAACACCATCAGAGCACTCCTGACATATGGTTGTCAAGCCTCTGCTTAAAGACCTCCAAAGAAGGAGACTCCACCACACTCCTTGGCAGCATATTCCACTGTCGAACAGCTCTTACTGTCAGGAAGTTCTTCCTAATGTTTAGGTGGAATCTTCTTTCTTGTAGTTTGGATCCATTGCTCCGTGTCCGCTTCTCTGGAGCAGCAGAAAACAACCTTTCTCCCTCCTCTATGTGACATCCTTTTATATATTTGAACATGGCTATCATATCACCTCTTAACCTCCTCTTCTCCAGGCTAAACATGCCCAGCTCCCTTAGCCGTTCCTCATAAGGCATCGTTTCCAGGCCTTTGACCATTTTGGTTGCCCTCCTCTGGACACGTTCCAGTTTGTCAGTGTCCTTCTTGAACTGTGGTTCCCAGAACTGGACACAGTACTCCAGGTGAGGTCTGACCAGAGCAGAATACAGTGGCACTATTACTTCCCTTGATCTAGATGCTATACTCCTATTGATGCAGCCCAGAATTGCATTGGCTCATGTCAAGTTTGTGGTCAACCAAGACTCCTAGATCCTTTTCACATGTACTGCTCTCAAGCCAGGTGTCACCCATCTTGTATTTGTGCCTCTCATTTTTTTTGCCCAAGTGCAATACTTTACATTTCTCCTTTTTAAAAATCATCTTGTTTGTTTTTGCCCAGTTCTCTAATCTGTCAAGGTCGTTTTGAAGTGTGATCCTGTCCTCTGGGGTGTTAGCCACCCCTCCCAGTTTGGTGTCATCTGCAAATTTGATCAGGATGCCCTTGAGTCCATCATCCAAGTCGTTGATAAAGATGTTGAATAAGACCGGGCCCAAGACAGAACCCTGTGGCACCCCACTAGTCACTCTTCTGTTCAATCCTTTCACTTACCAGTCCTCTGAATGGGAGAGAGGGAGATTATCACACCCTTTCAAGAACCATTCCCTGTTACTCTATTTTCCATTTAAATGCTACCTCAATTCCTGTTGATTAAAAACTTTGGTGCTGGGTTTGGACTGAATCAGACGACGTTGGGTTTTGGGGTGAATACCCATGACCCCCATTTTGAGTGTCTATTGCTCCGTTTGTGGGGTGCTGCAAAATGAAGTGTTTTCTCTGCAAAACACTGCTGCCAAATTTTTCTCAAAGTTTGGCCCCTGTTTAGAGCGAATCAGACGATGTTTGGTTTTTGGGTGGCCCCTGAGTTTGAGTGCCCATTGCTCTGTTTATGGGGCATTGCAAAACCCTGCAAAGCTTTTGGCTCCAGTTTGGGCCATCACCACTCAGTAGGCCTGAATCGACTATATATTTGATGTAAAAAAAAATTGTTTTAGTATTTTAAAGTTGTAAACCACCTTCGGTAACTTGGCAAGAAGGCAATATATATATCCAATGAATAAAATGTTTTCTGTCCTGGTAGCAGGCTTGTCTGTTTTTTTCCATTTGTTGCTGGTCATGAAACAACACCAATATGCCAAAATAAGAGGTTTTAAATGCCATCTCTTTGGATGCTGACATATTCATTCATTGGTGTTTTAATTTATTGACTGGAACTCCCTGTCTATTGACATTAAGGAGGCACCATAATGGTTCTCTTTCTGGGACCTGCTTAAAAAGTTTTTGCTTAGGCAATCCTACCCATATAGGTAGCAGTTACATGGGCTTATTCCTGCATTCACTTTAATATGAGTAGGATACCCCATGTGATGGGGGACTCTGATAAAGCAGCGTTCCTAAACATGACAGCAATGTCTGCTCAAGTTTATTCCTGTAGCCAGGACGGTACTGTAATTTAAGTGTTTTTATTATGCAGAACTGTGCGTGTTCATAATGCTCTGACACAGCAGTTGTAAAGGATGAAATGGCAGTCAGAGGGAGAAGAGCAATGTTAATTATATGCTTCACAACTGAAATCACATGGCCATCTAAAGAGAAAGGCCTAAAGTCCATTAAGTCCAGGGTCTTAATGTGTATAGATGCACCACTGAACATCAGGGAGATGGCTGTTAATAGTTCATTCATTCATTCTGGTAAACTTACACATTCCCTTCCCCCTCGTTGAAATAAAGCAGCCAACACAAAGAGCTTGCTGAAGGAGACTCTGACTGAGCAGTTTGACAGCACACCAGAGGCTCTTAAGAGAATCTGTAAGTTACGGAAATTATGGGGATGGGGCACATCTTTAAAGTTGTTAAATGTTACAAATGTTATGCATAAATGTATCCTTTAGACTTGGCAGCTCAGGGAAGTTACCTAGCTTTAAAAATCATATAAATCCAATCCTTTGCCAGTTTCCTTCATTCCACTGTCAATTTACTTCATTGGCCAAGGACTTGGAAACCATTCGGTCCCAGCCATAATTCCTCAAGCGGGGGTCATGTACTCACAGGAAGGTACTCATAGGTGTCAATTGCTGGGCAAAGGCACTCCTCCAGACTTGCCCAGGTGGCAGGCTATGCAAATCAAAGTTCTATTGTCCCTTTGTAGTACGTGCTTAGAATGTACTTCCCAATACATATCCTGTATCCGCCTGTTGCCCCAACACATTCCTCCTATGTTAATCATGTATAACCCTCCCCTTTTCTGATGTAGCAATGATGTAGTGATGATGCTTAATGAACTGTATGCTGGGATAAGATAGAAACTTTTAAAAGTCCTTGTCACCCCATCCTCGGGGTTCAAAATTCCTCTTTGAACCTGTTGCGCAATAAACTTTGGTCTGCAGCTATTTGCTCTGGTTGGTGGCTGGACTCCTCCCTTAATTCTGCAGGGACCCGCAGGCTCTGCCCGAAGAGCATCCTCACACCTAGATTTTTCCGTAACACTGTACCACTCAACAAGAAGACATGGAGGACTACAGGCGAGCAAATGGCAGTGTGGTAGAACACCAGTTGCTCATAAGAGAATGTTTTATTCTCTATTTATTGAGGAAGGGATTCCTGTTACATTTAGAAACTCAGTTGTTGCACCATTGTTGGTTAAGTAAGTCCATCATTTCAGTGAAAAAGAAGGCATCTCAGTTTGGGGATTACACTGAGGTACAGAGAACTAGTCTCTCTCTTTCTCTCTCAGGTGCTTACAACTCACACTGTTTCTGCTGGTACCTGCTTCAACCTCTGCCTCCCAAGCTATGTTGATCCTATCCTGTCCTTCCAAGTTGCGGTTCCTGGAAGGACTGCTGAAGAAAAGCCTCCCTCAGACACTTCAGGTGATCTTGAGCCATGTATTCTGGGTTATTAGCTAGGAATATGGTACCAAATTCTTGCATCTTCCCAAAGATCCAAATTCAGAATCTGAGAAGTTTTTTTAAATCCAATAAATAGGTGCTTGAATAGGGTACCATACAGATATACTCCACAGAGAGCTAATATTGGCTGCAGCTCCATACTGAGGGTACAGTTGGTGTGAAATGTGTATATAGTATGTGAAATGTCCATGTGAATTCCTACAATTAGTTCATTGGGTGATAGGTACTAAGTCCTCACTAGGGAAGAGGGAGAAATGTGATTCAGTTTGCATTTATAGGTGAACTTACCTAATTTGCACATTCTGAAACAATGCATGACAAAACTCAGCTGCCCTTTGAAATCTACATTTCTCTTATGAAGTTCTCCAGCCAAGTAACATTCACAAGACTGAGAGGGTAAACTGTGCGTTAAAAATGCACATGTAAGTAAAATGACATTGTATTGCGGAAATTGCTTTCTAAAAATGTGTGAATTATTAATAATCATGCATATTAAGCGAAATTAACACAAAAATGCCAATGAACTTTCATTTTTGTAAAAAAATGCAAACTGATGTAGAAATGTGGAGGACTGAGCTTAAGACGAGAAAAATGATAAACTGAGAGAAACAGAAAATCAACTGATTCTTCTATCCCTGTTCATCACTCAGGACACCCCACTCAAGGCACGCAGCAGATACAAGCCCGACACACCACACCACAGATGGCCTCCCCAGATCCCACACATTTCTCCCAGGCTGCCTCCTTCAACTGCAGCACCAACTCTGACATCCTTTGACTTTTGACAGGTCTGTGGTGAAGTCATGAACATAAACCGTGGGAACCCAGTGGGCCATGAGGTGATTGTGGATTCTTGGCCAGATTTCAAGGCGGTACTGACTCGTCCACAGAGAGGGGTAATAGCCTTTTTGCAAAGGGTAGCTCAATGGGTAGAGCATGAGCCTCTTAATGTCAGGGTCATGGTTTGGAGTCCCAGGGTGGGCAAAGAGATTCCTGCATTGCAGGGGGTTGAACTAGATGACCCTCGTGGTCACTTCCAGCTCTGTGATCCTCTGATTTTGTGGGAGGTGCTTGGTGGGATGTCAGCAGGAAATGCTGCGTGTTCTGTGCTGGGGCCTCCTCTAAGCCAGGCTCAAACTGAAAGGGGATGTTGGCTTTGGTCTAGGAGCGCACCTTTGGCATTAACAGCTGCCAAAGGGAGCAGGTGAAACTTCATCATTTCATCTCAACATCTGGAAAAGCTTTACCTGTTAAACTGTATTCTCTCTTTTAGACTGTTTCTGACAGTTCAGATTCCTTTAACAATATATATGCAGCATTTTATCGGGATCTTGATGCATACCGGAGACTGTTGCTTGACACAGATGCCATCAACTGGGACCAAGCCTTTTCTCTCTGTGGTAACAAGTTGTTCTTTCTAAGGAAGGAGTTATGAGATAAGGAGACTCAGTTTAGTTACTTAATCTAAATTTGATGAGGAAATGGAAGTGACAAAAGTGAATGTAATGGAGAAACATGAGCAAAATAAATACAAAACAATACATGGGGTGGCAGGCGGACACATGAATTAGATTCCAGGTTTTTCTGGATCTGGGTATCTGAGAAGCTATCTTGCCTCCTACAGTCCACTCCAGTCTCATGAGGATTGTTTTTTTAAAATGAAATGTAGAGAACTGAACTGAGAAATTGAGAGAAATTAAAAGTGACAGATTTGCTCTTCCCTACAGACTGCACACGTATTTTCTCCACAGCACCACAAGTACAATAGAACTTTTCACTGTCCAAGGGCAGAAAGAGAGCAACCTACCTTGGATGACCATCTGAGTGATAGCAGTTCAATATATGTGTACCTAACAATATATGTGTTGCGTCACCCAGCAACACCATTCTCTTTCTGATTTTTTACTGCTTTGTACAGGGAACCATGATGGGATACATGAGGTCTCTAAAGATGCTGTTGTTCTCAAGAAAGTCCAGTTGACTGCAATTCCCTACTTCATCTACCTGAACGCCAAACCAGATAAACAGCCTCAGCCCCGGTGAGTGTCCATTGTGCTCCCTACTTCCTGGTTGAGGCAAAGGCTAATCTGTGTGCTTCCAATAGGAGAATCTCCATAGTCAAAGTTGGATGGCAGTCTGCCATGGATACTTTAGTTGAAATTCCTGCATTTCAGCGTCCCTTCCAACTCTACAATTCTATGATTCTGCCTATGGACAAACCTGGCATTCACTCCTTCTTGTAGTTGGGATAGCAAAGCACCAAAGGCGGCACTCCAAAGGGGTAGCGTTGCCCACTCTAGAAAGGAAGGAGGAATGCCACACAAAAGGCGATTTGCATCAGGGGTCTAGTTTACAAAAGGCATCCCAAGAGCAGAATGAGCAGTTCTTTCTGTGACAGGCACCATCTTAGATGAGGCATGCTCTGCTGGGGTGAGATTGAAGGGAGGGGAACACAACTAATCAAACAGTTCCTGATATATGCCATTTACACACACACACACACACACACACACACACACACACACAATCAGTTAGGGGGATGCATTGTTGGTTGCTTCTAACAGGTATCAGTTGGTCATTAGTCCAAACTGCTGGATGTTAGGGCAAACAACAAGGAATCAGTATCATTTTCATGCCAGCTTGCTGGTGGTTTTGCCAGGGCATCTGTCTGGAGTGCTGGACTAGGGAGACTTTGAGGATGAGCCAAGAAGATAATTTCTGCATTCATGTTCAGCTCCCTCCTCATTGCTCATCTTTCTGCTCTCCTAGGCTAGATCCAGGCTTCACTTTTTCCTCCTTAAATAGCTCCCACATTGACCTGCTGGATGAAACCTGGCACTATGGGGGCAGTGAACACAGCCGGAAATATTTGGCCAACATGGTGCGATGTTTCCCCAGTACCTGCATCCTGGACTCCAATGGTCATCCTATCAGCTGGATCATCACGGAATCTTGGGGCGCAGCTGCACACAGCTATACCCTTCCATCCCACCGCCAAAGGGGCTATTCATCTATGGTGCAGAGGGAACATGGCATGCGTGTCCATGCAGCTGGCTTCCCTGTATATGGCCATGTTGCCCTAGATAATACCCCCCAGCACAAACTGATGGACTCCCTGGGCTTCCAAAGATTATCTGAACTGTGTCATTACTGCATCCATTCTCCAGCTTCTCAGTGAGAAGTGGAGAGAGCAACAGTCATTTTCCAGGATCCTGCCCAGTCCTTCCACTCACCAGTCCTCTGAATGAGAGAGACCTATCCACTATTCAATTTTGACCGCTCTTCATCTTTGCATTCCACAGTGTGTTTCTCTCTTCCTTTTGCCTTATTGTATTTTCCTGAATTTTCCTGGCCCTCCCTTATACATTTGACTTTTGATGTTTCAGTTCACGTACATTATACAGGAAGATCACACCTTACGCTTATTTAACTTGAAATATTAAAAAATAAAATAAAATATATATGAAAAATTGTCCAGTAGCACCTTAGAGACCAACTAAGTTTGTTCTTGGTATCTGAATAAGTGTGCGTGCACACAAAAGCTCTTACCAAGTACAAATTTAGTTGGTCTCTAAGGTGCTACTAAGGGACGCAGGTGGTGCTGTGGGTTAAACCACAGAGCCTAGGACTTGCTGATCAGAAGGTCGGCGGTTCGAATCCCCGCGACGGGGTGAGCTCCCGTTGCTCGGTCCCTGCTCCTGCCAACCTAGCAGTTCGAAAGCACGTCAAAGTGCAAGTAGATAAATAGGTACAGCTCCGGCAGGAAGGTAAACGGCGTTTCCATGCGCTGCTCTGGTTCGCCAGAAGCGACCTAGTCATGCTGGCCACATGACCCAGAACCCCAGCGCCGTAATCCCAGAGTCGGTCACGGGGTCCCTTTACCTTTACCTAAGGTGCTACTGGACAATTTTTTAATTTTTTTATATATTTCTACTGTGTCAGACCAACAACCTTCCTGAATCATTTAACTTGCATGATATCAACCATACGTGACTGAAGGCCACTCGTTGAAATCCTGCAACTTACCTAAATGTAGGTAACGTATACTCTCTGCCTTACTTGGGAAGAAAGGCTCTCTCTATGAGCCAGCTCTGGAAGCCCTGGGATGCACCCACAGGGGTCTTTCCAAGGTTTCTGTATACACATTTTTGTATATAAGCAGAACGCTTGGAACCAAACCCACACATAAGATGAAATTGTACTGTACCTCAGATCCTAAATGGTCAATGACCAAAGCAGGAGCCTAAGGATGTAATAAAATCACTTTTCTGTGACATGTTGTGTTATTCATCCCAAAGTTGAAGCCTTGTTCCCCAGATGATTGGAAAAACCTTTCCAAGAGGAGGAAGAGGAAAAAGATAACAATGACAAAGTACTTTGTGGTACAGTACAATTTCATCTTATGTGTCAAATATCAAAAGGTGGACCATTCACAGCCATGGAGTAGATGAGACTGTGAAGGTTCATTTCTTCCTGACCCCAAGGATTCACATTTGTCAGTGATGCCTGGAACCCATTGGGATCGGCAAGGTGGAAAACAAGGAGCCCAATGGTAGGTGGGCCTAGAGCCGATTTCAGGCACAGCCAACTCATTCTAGCTTTGTTCCAATCCTCCTCCTCATTGAATTTTGCAAAGCTCACAGCCACACCATACATTTAAAACACTCTTATATCCCTTTAACAGTCATGGCTTCCACCAAAGAATCCTGGGAAATGTAGTTTCTTGAGGGTCCTGACCTTACTCTCAGAGCTGCGGTTTCCAGCATCCTTAACAAACTGCAATTTCCCCACACTCTCCAAGACTGTTAAAATGTTGGCATAGTCCACCAATCGGTGTTAAAGAAGGATAGAACTTTCTTTATGTATGCAACAACAGCAGCAAGAATACTTATTGCAAAGTATTGGAAGACACAAGATCTACCCACACTGGAGGAATGGCAGATGAAAATGATGGACTATATGGAATTGGCGGAAATGACTGGCAGAATCCGAGACCAGGGAGAAGAGTCGGTGGAAGAAGATTGGAAGAAATTTAAAGACTATCTACAGAGATACTGTAAAATTAATGAATGTTAGAATGATGACGGATTGAAGTTAAGCGGTTTCTAGCAGTAATGGTTAAAAGAATTGGAAAAATTCGTTTTTAATAGGTAAAAATTTAATGTTATATAATATATATTAAGATTAAAGATCAGGATTAAAAAGGAGGGAAAGGAATTGCTGGACTAACAAACTGAATTGGAATACAAAAGAGGGAGGTATGAGGAGGTCTGGGAAACAAGTAAACGTAAAAGAAGTGATGAAAAGATGGAATTGTTTTTAACTGTTTTTTCTTTTTCCTTTTTGTATTGTGTATTTTTCTTTTTATTGTTAATTTTCTTATTAATGTGATCCTTTTCTTGTGAAATTTTAATAAATATCATTTTTTTTAAAAAAAAGACTGTTAAAATGTTGGAAGAGGGCTTTAAACATATGGGGAGGAAGTGATCTTCAGATGAGGGAGCTGACAGCCAGCACCCACCCACCCCCCAGGCAGGTTGCAAGTAAGGAGACAGGCACGTGGGCACTGGCTGAGGTTGCTTGTCTTTTGCCCCATTTGCTCTAAGAGACCACCTTCCACGGATGTTTACACACGCAAGACCAGTCATGGCTGCACTGGTGGCTGAAGCGAAGGAGTGAGGGCCTACGTCTATTTCCAGCTTCCTAGCAGCGGTTTAGTCATGCTGGCCTGGAAAGCTGTCTGTGGACAAACGCCGGCTCCCATGGCCTGAAGCGAGATGAGCATCGCAACCCCATAGTCACCTTTGACTGGACTTAACTGTCCAGGGGTCCTTTACCTTAGCACTTAGTAAACTGAGTATCAGATCAGAATTCAAAAAGTAAAGGCATGATAGTGCTTTGCAATGAAAGGAAGGGAGCACAGATGCGCACCGTCGGCCTGTGACAGAATCAGCAGCAGCCCAAGAGAGATGTTGGGACATCCTCTCCCCCACCTTCCCAGGGCCTGCTCAGGAAAGACCTGTGTGAAGTGGGGTAAAGCAGAAGGGAGGCCGCTCAGACCCAAACACTTGGGCCATCACCTCCCTGTAGGCCTGAATGTACTCCTTCACTCTACATTTTATGTAATTTATTTCTTTTAGGATTGCATTCTGCAGTAAAATTGGTGGGAAGAGTTTAGTAATGAGGGGGACTTCCTATCTTACTCCTATGAAATAGGGTTTTAAGATTATGCAGCTATCTAAAATAATTTAACCAAGTCCATATTCTCCGGCTCTTGTCACTCACCTGAGGGAAGGTCTCTGTGGAGAGAGCATGTGACCTGCGACTGAGGCCTTGAATGGTTTTCAGAATCCCCACAGTTCTCAGCCCCCTACTTAGGGGGGAAACTGGAATTTCTGGCAGGGGAAAAGGATTGCAAGGGTGATTCAGTGAAATTACATATCCACTCTCCATTTTCATTAAAACTAGAGTCAGATTACAGCAAGTAGTTGGCAAGACAAATTTATAATGTGGGGCCTGAAGAGGGAAGGGTCTCTGCTCCTGCAAAAAAAGAAAAGGTTAACAGAGTACTTAAGTCGAACGAGCATTTGCGACTATATGGAATTGGCGGAAATGACTGGCAGAATCGGTGACCAGGGAGAAGAGTCGGTGGAAGAAGATTGGAAGAAATTTAAAGACTATTTACAGAAATATTGCAAAATTAATGAATGTTAGAATGATGTTGAATTGAAGTTAAGTGGTTTCTAGCTGTATAGGTACAAAAGAATATGGAAAAATTGGTTTTTAATATGTAAAAATTTAATTATAATATATCAAGATTAAAGATTAGGATTAAAAAGGAGGGAAAGGAATTGTTGGATTAACAAATTGAATTGGAATACAAAAGAGGGAGGTATGAGGAGAAACAAGTAAATGTAAAAGAAGTGATGAAAAGGTGGAATTGTTTTTAACTGTTTTTTTCTTTTTTTTACTTTGTATTTTTCCTTTTTATTGTTAATTTTCAATTTTTTTATTTTATTAATGTGATTTTTCTTCTTTTGAAACTTTAATAAATATTATTAAAAAAAAAAAAAAAGTCGAACAAGCATTTGCTTCCTCTATCCTTACCCCTCATGAAGCTACTATTCTGAGCACCCTTTAAAAAATTACATTTACCAGGATTCTTTTGGAGGGGGGAGATGCTTAAAATGCGTAATGTGTGCACAGCCTTTCTCCTGGAAGCTTAATTTCCCAGATTTAAGATTATGATAAAAAATCTCTTTTATATAGTTGGTTTTAACTTTATTGAAGTCAAGGATAAAAGGCTGCAAACTGACTCTGAGGCTCTAACTCAGGGCAACTGAACATAACTCTCCCGTATGTTGTAGCAGTTGCTACCAGAGTGCAGGATGAGGACCTGGGAGATGACCAGGATTCAAATCCCCACTCTGTCATGAAAGTTGCTGTCTGACCCATGGTCAGTCACTGTCTCTCAGCCTGATCTACCTCACTGTGTGGTTGTGAGGATCAAAAGGGGAGAAGGAGAGCCATGTTTGCCACCTTGTGCTCCTTATTGGAAGATGGGATTTAAATGAAATCAATCAATCAATCAATCAATCAATCAAATACAAGACTTTTGTGTATAATAATGTTCCTTACATGGAAAAACAGTCACCTGGCTGCTTCCTCACTATCTCTGCTTTTGTCCACGCTGCATATTGGTCATACCAGGAAGGAAAATCCAGCTTGATCTGCTCTTGTCTCAGCAGAATGATCAGCAAATGAAGGGGTATTGTTCCATTTTTTAAAACAACCATATGAAGTTAAGCTTTTTCACCTGCCAGGGGTGCCATCTAAAGGGGGGGCTGAGGGATCTCCTTCCCCCCCCAAAAAAAAAATCAAGAAGGGGGCCAGGCTCCCTCAGTATGTATTGGGAAAGCAGAAAAAAATAAATATTCAAACCCTTCCTTGTTTTCAGGAAGGTGTGTCAAATCTTCACCAACAAAAAAAACCAACTTGAGGTGTTTTACCATATGCATCCTAGAGATCTATGAGCAGACATTAATTGCATTTTATAGGAAAGTTATTATGGGGAAAGGTTTTCCTTATGTTCTGCAACAGGTTCAATGATGCCTTCCATTTCAAAATATGATTGAGAAAAAATATTTCTGGAAAGAAGAAAAGAATGATAGAAAGCCTGTGTCCCCCCCCAAACAAAGCAATAAAGGTGTTTTGTGGAACTAGAGCACATAGTGTTAGTTTGTAATCTCCATTCCACAGTGTAGGATAAAGAGGGGCCTGTGATAACCATAAGTGAACTGTTTTCAATTCCATATTTATTAATAAAATAAATGATGGTGCTTAGATACCCACAATTGCAAGTGGTGGTGGTATCCTTGATTTGCCTCCCATGATATGATAAATGGTTGGGCCATCCATTATTTGCCAAGTTAGACTGTGGCAATCATAACGGGACAGCATGCACATGGGACTCTTGTGCTAGATCACCCCAGGATTATAAAGAATTTAACATTTTTAAAAATAAACTATTAATTCAGCAACACAAAAAACATAGTTTTATCCAACTTGCCATGGATTTAAGGGACCAGTTTTTGCACACTCTTGTGAATCAACAAACGCATCAAAATAAGTGGGAAATAACTGTTGTGGACTTCTAGCGATTGATGTGATGTGTGATGTGGCGAAAGCATTTTCATAGATTCAAAGCATTAATGAAGTGCGCTTCTGGCCACCAGGTGTCGCTTTTGCCCCCATAAAATGCCACAGCCAGGCTCTATTTAAGCGGGCCATGAAAAATATTAAAAACTAGAAGCTAGCTGTTTAATTTGTCTTCATCAACCAACATGAGGAGGGAAACTGTAAAGCTCAGATTATAGCTATACCTTAGGGTTTTCATAATAAATCTAGGGCAAATCTACTTAATGGAGAGATGAGCTCTAAAATCCCCACTGTTAAAAAGTAAGTATCTGATTCTTAGGGCTGCCAACATGGGTAAGGACACTGGTTATTTTGCTTGTCATATCCGCTTTGAAAATAAATATCAATGTCTAAGTCCTATACTCAAGGCAGATGCTGTTGGTTTTCAGCTCCTATCAACCCCAGTCAGCATGGCCAATGGTCAAGGATAATGGGACTTAGGGTCCAGGAATATCTGAAGGGTGACAGGTTAGCCATTCCTGCTTAATTTTTTTTAAAGGAGCGTTAGTAGTCAGCTTTCCCATGATGCAACTAGTACCCATCTTTATATCACCATCACAATAATCACCTTAATATCCAGCTCATTCTAATACATCAATGAGGCGAATGTGTAATCTGAACATTAATTTTCCAGCTCCGACATGGGCAGGTACAGTTAGCTATAAAACTAAGGTCTTGCCAAAATCTCATGAGAGCTCACGGCGTTTATGAGATCTTGCTAGAATGTGCTGCTATGCAACTCAAGTGAGGAGGTGAGGGGGGTGGCATGTTCGCATTTCGCCTCAGGCAGTGAAACGGAATGTGCTGCCCCTGAAAACAAGGAGCTCTGATCCCCCAGAGGCAAAACCAACTGCTTCTAGATTTGTCCCCATCCTTCTCCATGCTGAATTCAACAATGGCAATGCTAAAACTAAGATGCCACCACCTCTTGACAGGTTGCAAGAAGGCAGGCAGGTAGCTGGGAACTAGCTGGGGGCAGGCTGAGGCTGGTGGTGCGGCGCTCCATTTGCCCCAATAGACCAGGCTTCGCAGGATGGAAGAGGAACTAAATACTGTTTGGAGATTCCCTACTTCTGCCTTGATAGGATGGTACACTTCAGCCCCATTCATGGTGCAGCTCAGCACACAATTTATCTCAGCCTATGTCCATATCTCCTCCCACTCCCTGAGGTCACATCTAGATAGATGACACAATAGGAAATGTACAATTGGACATCCCATGGGTTTTTTTGAAAGGCCATTGCTGCTGCACGGCTGCCAGGTTCTGCAGCAGTGGAGGAAGATGGGCTCCCCTCCACCCTAACACACACAGAGTGGGCTTTGAACCCATGCCTCTGAGATTTAAGAGTCTAATGCCCTACCAACTGAGCTATCGATCCATCCAATGCAATTTTCCCAGTTGAAGACCTCCTAAAGTTGCTACTTGCCCTGCCACTTTGTCTAGTCACTCTTTTACTCACAGGGGCAAAACAACGCTGGGTTGACTCCAAAGGGTCTTTTATCAAACATAGGTTCCTGAATAATGCCCTCCCCAGAGACCAATAAGTTTCCCACAAAGCACTGAAAATGGAGGATAAGGGGGCTGCCACTACAGCCATATAAAAATGCCTGTGGTTAGTACAGCTGCCGTGGAGACTGCCATTGACCAGGCCTTCGGTTAGCATTACAGCCTGCCTGGCTAGTGGACAAGTCCAGGGCAGACGACTGCGGGCAAGGGGTGGCTGTGGTTAGCTCAAGGTTGTTTCCTGGCCTCCTTCGTGGAGGCTTTGTCCCCTGCTGGGAATCAAGACTGAGTCAGTTTCTTTCCAGGGCAAGAAACTCCAGGAGACAAAGGCAAAGCAGGAGATGCTGACCCCAGATGCTGCCCCAGACTCACCCCTGGGAGTTAGGAATCCACTAGAGCATGAATCATCAGGCTCCCCCCTACCCCACAAGGAGCAAGCGGGGTCTGGGAGAAAGGAGACCTGAACAAGTAGGACGGGGATCAATGCAGCCTCTCTAGCCCTCTCTCCCCCTTCACCCTCAGCCTTTCTCCAGCCTTCCTTTTATCCTTACGCTATGCAATGACTAATGTATTTTACTAGGCTCAGCTCCAGCTATGGGGTTCATTTTATGGAGCTACGGTGGAGGCCTGACCTGCTTTTATGAACCAAAATCCACATCCTTTGCTCTTGACTCAGAAAAAGAAGAATGCAATCCATTGGTTTCAGGGAAGACTGGCAAAGACCATTCTCAACACCCACTGATGTCCCTCAGGCTCTCTTGGCCCATTTGCTATGGCCTAGGGCTTAAATCCTCTTAGCAAATGCAAATTTTGCCCAGCAGGGATGCATCATTTTCATTTGTACATATTCATTAGGTGTAGCATCTCCTTTAAATGCTCTCTATTAACAGGTTGCCCCGTGCACCCCAAAAACAATTTGACATCTGAGGCAAACCGCAAAATGGCACCCCCATCCCCACTGGAGAAGAAGGGGTGAGTCAAGATCTAAATCAGGAACAGGGGGGAATAAAGATCTACTTTGGGGTCTGCTGCTCTTATGGATCCTGCCACCCAAGGGGGTTGCCTCATCTTGCCTTATCCAGCCCAGTTTGCCCTTCATTTTAGAGCACATATTCCAGCTGTAACAATACGTCTTATAGAGCACCAACTGTCTTGCTTTGATATTGGATCGAACAAACTTGCTCACTGGCAGTGGTAGCATTCGGGAACCAGATTTGAATATCACAGGTTGATTCCCATCAAAGTAGGGTTCAGCTGCTTTATTAGTGTATCCCAGTACCTTGACTCAACGCCAAGCACTATTTGTCAAGAAACTACAGGATCAGTATGGGTTGTGGCTAACGTCGTGTGAAAGCGGCTACAAAAATTAGCAAGGGGTAGTGTTATGTACTTGAGCTGAATTCTAGATCAATAGGATCCAGAATGCAGCAGTCTGATTGGTCCGCAGGAGCCACCCAATCCAGCTCTAGGTGGAAGTGAATCAGCGACCTGATTGGCCTACAGGAGCAGCCTGGAACTAGCCAATCATGTGCAGCCCATTGTGTAAATAATGTATATCCATCTAGACCTTTTGGGGAAAGTTTCATTCATTGCTACTATGAGCTGAATAAAGAGCATGAAATTCACACTCAACTCTGAGTATATTTCAGGGAGGGCACTGTGTGAGGAGTTAAGCAATAATGTAAACAGATTCTCAATGTTCCCTTAGGTTTCTCCCTCTGCTATCATTGCACCTTTCTGGCTATAACAGTCCTGATCAAAGCAGCTAGAAACAAAGTAGACCATGAGGCCTTCCACCTCAAAAGGGTGCCTGAGTGGCCAGTAGGAAGGGGCATCTGAAGAAACCTCTTGGAAGTGAAGAAGTTGGGGTGGTTAACTTTTAGGGATGGGATTCTTGGTGGGAGCAGAGCCCTGTAGGTACAGAATGAGAAACTAGAGTAGGTGTTTGGGGAGGGGGAGAGGAAGAGAGGGATTGTAGATCTGGATAACTTTCTATTTGCCCCGACCCAAGGTGTAGAGCTAAACAAGAAAACCATCCAAGGGGAAGGGAATTCTTAACTCAAGAAGAAAGCAGCTGCCCCCAAAAAAGTTCCTGCACCATGAAGCAGGTGATAAGGAAGACTGGTGCATAACTACCCCAGGGAGGAAATCTGGAAGGAGGACTGGAGCAGGTTTGTTGTCATGCAGCAGCCTTAAAGAGGGAGACGCAATGAAAATCATCTGGAGAGTTGCACAAGAGGAGCAGAGGTGCTATAGCCCAGCTCCTTTGACTGTCACAAGCAATGCATGTGATGGATGGAGAGAGTGGGGGGTAGACAGGGGACGAGCCAGAAGGTTGGGCTCTGTTCTCTCCTTGTTGAATGCTGTAGTGATCTCACCACAGCTGGAAAGGGGCCAAGCAGCCAACCTGGATGCTGAGACCTTCAAGTTATCTATCTCCAGGGGCTGTGGCTGGCTTCTCACAGTCTGTATTGTGCGGCCCATTTTAAGAGGTGAGGCGTGGGAGGCCCTGCTAGTGACAGCAGGGGGGGGGGGGCTTGGAGCAAGGATCTTTCTGCCGTATTCCTGGCTCAGAGATGGGAGTAAGATCTACGGCGGCTGAGTAGGAGAGCAAGAAGGATGGAGCTGGAATCTGGAATCTGCAGTCCACCCTGGTTGTTGGTTCTTCTGGGGTTTTTTGTCATCTGCTGAGACTGTCTCTTTCTCTGTTTATGGACTCCAGCAGCGTTTTATCGCCTTCATAATGTGACTCAGGAATAAGCTACCTTCCAACTGGTTGACATTCTCCCTGTTCTCTTGGTACTTCGGGGAAGAACAGTTTACCAAAAAGCAGCTGCTGGATGTTAGAAGTGCCCTCTGCACAGTTACCTTAGGACCACCACCACCCCAAGTTACAGAGAAAGGAAATGGGCACATACATATATATATATGTATACCATATATATGTGACATAACCTTGAGACCCACTGCTACTCTTTCTCTTGAAATGGGCTGAGAGCAGAAGCTGCTTTCACCTTTGGTCCCTGTGTAGAGTTAGGTAGCCAGGCTGCATTCAAGAGAAGTTTATGGTGGATCAGGCAAAGGGAGCCATCATCTCCTGCCTGTTCCTCTTTGCCGTCATCCCAGTTCCTTCTGCAATGCATATTCTTCTCCATCACACTCTGACCAGGAAGCCATGGCGGGCTGTTGTTGGTTTTTGCTCTTACTGTCTCTTGTGGAGGCCCCAGGTTCAGAATTAATTGTGTACTGCCTTGGATTATCTTTGGTGTCTTTCACTTATCCCTTTTTGAACATTCAATCTGATTTGTTTTCTGGGAGGTTTGGTGATAGCTGCATACACACCACACATTTAGAGCAAATAGCTTTCCCCCAAGAATCCTGGGAACTGTCATTTACCCAGCACAGAGCTATAATTCCAGCACCCTTAGCAATCTACAATTCCCAGGATTCTTGGGCGGAGATGTCATGTCCCATCTTCATGTGCCTCTCCATGAGAGGTCCAGAGAGTGGCAACACCTTTTCTGCGCCAGTTCTCTGTTTGTGGAATGCTCTCCCCAGGGAGTTTCAGCTGGCTCCTTAATTATTATTATTATTATTATTTATTAAATCTGTTTACCACCCTTCATCACAAGATCTCAGGGCAGTTCAAAGAATAATATACAAGATAAAAAATAAGTAAATAATTTAAATAAAAATAACATTATTTTGTTCCCACAGACACATTTAAAGGCTGTGGAATATTAAACAGCTACCTGTGGTTGAAGAGGAATGTTTTCACCTGGCGCCTAAAATATATATAATGAAAGTGCCAGGCGAACCTCTCTGGGGAAACCATTCCATAAATGGGGAGCCACTACAGAAAAGGCCCATTCTCGTGTTGCCACCCTCATGTGGAGGAGGCACACAAAGAAGGGCCTCAGATGATGAATGCAAAGTCTGAGACAGTTTATATACCTTTAGGGGCCAGGTGAAAATGTTCCTCTTCAACCAGGCCTTTGGCTAATTGACATCTGATGCCCTTATAAATGTGTTGTGGGAAGGGGAGATTATTTGTTTTTTGTTCCTATTTTCATGATATATGTTGTGGGGTTTTTTATATTGTAATTTTATGTTGTGAACTGTCCTAAGATCTACAGATTAAGAGCAGTATACAAATTTAATTAATTTATTAACAATGTGCTTTAAATGTATAGCATGTACACAGGCAAAGTTATGTCAAAGCAACTGTTCTCCAATGCTTTCCAGTGCATTTTCCTGTAGTTTTCCTTATCACAAAAAGTCTGATCGTTTGTGGAGGCCAGCTTGCTGCCACAACTTCTCAATAAACCGTAATTGCACCGTCTGAGTTTGCTGGCACGTCATTGAATCCCACCCAAAAACAGAGGTGGACATTAGGGCTCGCTCTTGCCTCGTTTGCTCAGCTGGAAATGGCCAAGATTGATTCTACAAGGATAGATGGCCAACAACTCTTAGGCACAGAGACAGGATATCCTGGTTGTACTGCAATGGATGGAAAGCTACTACTGTGGTTCAAATTAAGAGGTGAACTTTCCCCCATTGCTGTGGTTCTGGAATCAGCAACGTGATGCCCATGGGACCCCAGAGGGCTGTTGTGGCACCTGCTAGACCACCTGCTCTGCTCCCCACCTCCCAAGATTAACACACATCCAAAACAGAATTAAAATTGTGTCCCTGTGTTGCTGCTCCAGCTGCTTGTGGCTCCTTGCTAGGTTTTTGTTGCACCTGCTCACTTCTGTTCTGCTTTAGAGGGCAGGTGGCCTTTGGATTGGTTGGAGGAAGAAAGATAAGGACCTGGATGGTGGTGGTGGTAGCTGAAGTGTGTCTGTGTGTCCATGTCCTGAGGAAGGAAAGGTAGCAAGGGGAGGGGAGACAGAAAAGAGGTGGGGATGTTGGGGGTGAAAAAAGAAGCCATGGGAAGGCAATAAAGGGGTAAGCCAGAGAGATGGATGAAGGGTGGGTGGAGCCTCAGGGGAGTAAAAAGACAGCAGATGGGGCCTGGGATGTAGGCAAAAGGAGGAATGTGTGTGTTGGGATGAATTTGGTGAATGCTTATAAATGAGTGGATGGTGTGCGGAATGTGTGTACAGGGGGAAGGGATTCACAAAAAGAGAGTTTTGTCATTAGTCACTATCCCATGGCAGCCATTTTGGGGTGTGGAGCCCACAGGTTTTTTAAAAAGAACACCACCACAATGTACCCACAAATCCAGGCTACAGCTTCCACTGTCTTTGTGCTGGAGCCCATGTTCTCCTTTTCATTTATTTTAGGACATAAAATGGGAAGGGAAGGAGATGGATAGATTCTGGGGCCAATGCAATAATCCTGTAAATTGAGCTTCTCCCATCTACATCATCGCTTTTGGGGGCAAAGTGAGTAACCCAGGATTTGTTTGGCTTAAAGGAGATGTGTGTGTGTTTCATGACCCCGGCCTTCTTGTTGCAGGGGTGGGGAACCTGTGGCTCTCTGGAGGTTGTTGGACTCCAGCTCCTATTAGTCCCCAGATCACAAGCCCAATGAATGATGGGAATTGTAGTCCTACAACTGGGGGCACTGGGTACAAAACCCAGTTGAATGAAGGTATTTGAATGCACACACAAAGTTTGTTTACTGCGTATAAAAGAAGATCTGCCCAGAGAATGCTCTGCAGAGAAACAAATAAGGCCAGCATAGCTCCTGGAGAAAGCCTTTTATTTGTTAATACAAGAATAGAAATTCTGCAATAAATACAATCTAATAAATAACATCTGAAAATAAATAAATATTAATACAGACAAACTGAGAATAACACAACCTGACAGTGGGGAGAGGGGGCAGAAGGAGAGGGGAGGGGAGAGAGAGAGAGAGACCTATGGACTGGGCCACCTATGGGAAACTCCTCCCCTTGTCCTTTGCTGGTGACAGTAAACCGCATAGCCTCACTAGGCCCGCCTGCCACAGTGGGGAGGGAGAGGTACAGGCAGGCGGAGACCACTGCTGGGGCTGGCTAGGAAGATGTCCCTGCCGTGGGCAACTCTGCTGCAGCTTTTGGCTTTGATGAATGATAGGGGAGCCTCTTGAGTTGACCACTGCAAAAGAGAGAGAAAAAGGCTGAAAGCTCGCCAGTGCCTGCATTAAACCATATCCCTTATGTTTCATGCCTCATTGCAACGCCTATTCAGAGTCCCATTTTGCCCTTGCGGGGTGAGGTTGCCTCTAGAGCAGGGGTAGGGAACTGCCAGCCTGCAATTTTCCAGCCCCACCTGCTGCCTAGCTGATCAGGAATCAAGGGAGCAGGCCTGGGACACTGCTCTCTTTCTTGTTGCTCATCTGTTCCTCAGTCAGGAGGAGACTGCAGGGAGGGGAGGTTGTGCATGTTTGCAGCGCAATGTGCATGCATGTGTCTGAGAAAGAGTGTGGGGCAGCCCCCTTTGCAGCCCACCACTCATCTGCCACCCAATCTCCTGAGCAGCTGGTGGATAGAGATGAGACTGCAGAGAGGGAAGTTCTCTGCATGCATGTCTGTGCACATGTGTGGGGGGGGGTGAAAGACGGCATAAGGTATCTCCACCTGCTGCAAGCTCTGGCTCTGTCTGATTTGCTTTTGGCGCCTGAAAGAATTAACCAGGTGAGGATGTGACCCCCAGCTTCAGGAAGGTTCCCCACCCCTGCTGCAGAGTTCATGGCCCAAAAGGAAGGCCAGAGCTGGGCATCATCTTGAGCCAGTGGGTTTGATCAGAGGCAGGTTTGTGGGAAGTAAACCCCCTTCGTAAGCACCTAATTGGCACAATCCTCTATGAGAAAGAGAGAGAGAGAGCACAAGCAGGAACCCAGGCTCTGGGGGAGCTCCATTTAAGGAGAGCAGAGTGCCAGAGGTGGAGGCTGCCAGATGTTCGCTGCCCTGCAGCCAGGGCTTTATTGCTCATCACTGGGGTGGGAGGGAGCAGGGCTTTTCATCTGATCCTGGAAAATTAATGGCCCCCTCTGGGAAGAACAAGAGAAAGGCAGGCCACTGAGAAGGCGGAGGAAGGAAGGGAAGGAAGAAACAGATAGGTGTGGGTTTGCTCACCTAGAGGCACGGCTTCATAATAGAGAGCAGTGCAGCACCATGAAGGTGTGGCAGCAGGAGTCAGGTTGGAGGTGGGTTGGAGGTGGAGAGGGGCAGGCAGGCTGTGGGTTCGGGGGGGGGGCTCTGGAAAGCCCCTGGCCTTGAGGGGCAGGTATGACGCCAGTGGACGAGGCGAAGGCAGAGAGGCTGGTGAAGGGCAGGGCTCAGAAGCCCCTGCTCTCGAGGTGCAGCATAACAGCAGAAGGGGGCACCCTCTTGCGCAGCCTGTTGAAGTCCTTGGCCGAGCGCCACAGCCAGGTCTGCAGCTCCTTGAGCAGCCAAAAGTCGTCCATCTTGCGCAGGAACTGGCTGCGGAGCGGAGGCGTACCATCCGTCGGTGTGGGCGGAAGCTGGTAGCCCAGGGAAGCCATGATGCCGGCGATGGAGCCCAGCAGCCCTTGCAGGCTGGCGCGGAAGTGTGCGAGGCTGTGGCGCAGGGTGGGCATGGCGACTGGGGATTTCCCATCCATGGTGCTCAGGTAGCACAGCAGGTGGCTGTAGGCCTGGTAGTTGGCTGCCAGCCGGGCATTGTCATTCAGGCTGTGCCATTCCTGAAAGTCCACGGTGGCGCTGGGCACAGCCTCTGCCCCGATTAGCCGGGGAGGATCAAAGTCCGGCTCATTGAAAGGTGGCCCCAGGTAGCTGAGCTGAGGGTGGAAAGACAAGCGGGTGGTTAGACATGCTTATTATACGGGAGTAGCGCAGTTGCACATACCATTCCACTCATCCTTTCCACAAGCTCTTCCTCCTGCTCCCACTCAGTGAGGCGGTGAGGTATGGCAGTATGAGAGCGAGCAATTTTAATTCCTTAGCGATATGCACAACAACACCAGGCATGAGCGCACACTGACATCCTTTATTAGTCTGAACAGCTGCATTGTGTATGTGTGCCCGGTGCATGCAAATATTATGGGATCCACTGACATGCTGATTATCTCCTTTTTACCCGGTGACATATTGCAACTGCAGCACGGTCAGATAGGCACTTAGTGAGAGATCCCTGCTTTGCCCTGAATATTCTGGTAGACACACGCAAACACACACACACATTTATTCACACCCGCTTGCCCTGCTAAGCTGCGTTCCTGGGATTCCCCGCCCCACCCCCCTCTGCCAGCATTGGTGCCCTGAGGGGCAGCAGGATTGCCCAGGCAGCGGGGTGAGCGGGTGGGGTGAAGCACAGAGCGGAAGGGAGGTGTGTCAAAGCCTGCGGCTGTGTGAACAATCTGACAAGCTCAGGAGACAAATTAATTTCCTCTGTGTCGCCCGGGGGCAAGTAGGGACGGGTTCTCCCCAAACAACACGCCAGCAGAAACCAACTCACAGAGCAGGCTGGGACGTGGCCAACGCCATGAGACCAGCGGGGGGGGGGCAGGGGGAGGAAAGCTGAAGCGTGACTTCTCTAATACTTAAAGGGCCTGGACTTTAAGATCAAAGAAAGGAAGTGGGTTTTTTCTTTTCTTTTAGACAGCCAGTGTGGTGTAGTGATGAGAGCACTGGGCTGGGACCCGGGAGACCAAGGTTCAAACCCTGACTCAGCCAGGAACCTCCTTGGGTGACCTTGGGGCCAGTCACTCACTCTCAGCTGAACCTACCACACAGGGTTGTTGGGAGGATAAAACAGGGAAGTGGTGAACTATGCATGCCGCCTTGTGCTCCTGTGAGGAAAGGCAGAATTTAAATGCAATAAGTAAATAAGAATAAGCAAAGAAGATGGCGTGAGGCAGTCAGATGGGAAGCTAATTGGGAGACGTGTTACTGAAGAATCTAAAGAGGGTTTGTGTGGGCCTTCAGCACACAGGCTTGCCTTTCCCATTTTGCCTTTTCTTGTAGGGCGTAATACAGACAGTGGCCCTCAGGCAAACCAAGGACCTTGGGCCAGCATGTGCACCGCCTGTAGCCATGCTGTTGTCCTTAAGTGGTCAAAAGGAATGAATTCTATCCTCACACTCACCCCATCCCACCAGTGAATCTCAAAAAGATTTCAAAATGATATTTTGGGTTCTTTTAATTTGGGTGCGTTTTTTTGTTTATTTGTTTGTTTTGCTTCTGAGCCTTCATTCATTTGTTTATTACGTTCTTATCCTGCTTTTCAGACAATGATGGTCTCTGAAAGCAGCTCACATCAATAATAGAGAGAGAGAGAGAGTAGAGAGAGAGAGAGAAGTCCCGCCAATAGTAAAAACACAAATTTTAAAAGACAAGACTTCAAAGCGCAGGTTGCAGTCAAGCTTTTCTTACAAACAAGTTGTTTCTATGGGCAAAGGAAGGAACGGTCTCTTGAAGGAGAGTGCATTGGCTCTCAGGCTTCCCTGAGCATCAGTACAGAACTGCTAAAAGTGAGCCACAAGGTAAGCTTTGCTGAAAGTGTTGGGTGGGAGCAAGGAGAAGGGAATACAATGCAACTGAAATTTGGGCAGCAACAGCAGCAGTGCTCAAAAGGATTCTGCCTGAATGCTCTCTTCTGGACACTAGAGTTTTGCTCTGTATTAAATTTTAAGATGGGTAGGTACCAAAATTATGTTTCAAGGTTATTAAAAAAATATGCCAGGAAACACTAAGGCCAGGTTCCTGTAGAAATTATGGGGTGGGGGATTGTTTGCTTTTTACCATTTATTCTGTTTCATCTACTCTTGAGAAGGATCAAAAAGTGACTATGGGAATCTCTTAGTTTTCTGAGATTTTATCAGGCGTTGTTGATATATATATATTCGAACTTATCTTTGAAGCTGTATGGGCTAGAAAATTGGTTTTCTGTTGTTGTTGTTTTAAAAGATTAGAAAGCAGAGAATTCTCAGGAATTGCAAATCATATATTTGCACAGAGCTGCTGAAATTCACACCACCCTTGTTGTAAGGTCTGGCCTAGACAGTGGTTGTCCATGGTCCCAGCTAGAGATGCCACTGGACTTAGTGCTGGGAGCATAGAAAGGAAAGGCAGGCACTTCCCCCCCTTGCATGTGCTCATGCCCACCACAGCAGATGATGGCCAAATCCTGCAATCCTCCCTATTGACCCAGCAAACAAGCAGGCAAGGACCACTGCAGGTTGAAAACACCTTGGGCCTTCCTACTTTGGAGATTTGATGCACTTGAACGGCACATCCAATCCCCCAAATAAGACCCATGCAGCTGTGACCCCAGTGTTCCTCAGCTGTCAAGATGTTTTATTTCATTTCCCCCCAGCTGTTTGAATAGCCTCCTCTGTCCACAGCTTACATCGCCACATATGGGAGCAGCTTTGCTTCAGTAGAAATCCCTTGGCAGAAATTTCACAACATCCCTCAAGAAGCAGCCAACAAGACAGCACAACTGACTGGTTTCCTTTTTCTATACTGATACAGAAGCCCCGGGGCTATGCGGCAGTGCGCATGCGGGCACATGGGTGTGCATTTCCTGTCCTGCTGAGTCAGATTGCCAATCATTTTGCATCAGTGAATGCCAACCTACTTACGGGAACACTGAAGGTAAGGAGGCAACCATCAGGACGTACAGAGAATATGGGAATCATAATGAAATGCAATGGTTGCATATGCTATTATATCAGGCCTACGCAGTGCTAAATTTTAAGCTGGAGCTCTGATAGTGGAGAAGGCCTGATTTCTGCTGGAAATAGCATAACCTCCAATGGTAGCCGATGCAGTCCTCCCTAGTCTTAATCTCCTTAAGCCATGAGAAGATTCCTTTTATTACTGCCCCAGTTCCTCTCCCGGCATCTCTACGGAATAGCCTCTCCCTGTTAACGTCTGGCTCCCTCCAAAGATAGGCAACTTCTTAACAGTAACTTCTTATTTCAACAAAAGGGCTCAACAATTCCAACCCCTGTCTTGCTCCAAAAAATGTTTGCAAGGAGATTTGTGTTCTTTACACATTCTGGATCTTTGAGCACATGAGCCCGGTGAAAAGAAAAGTATGGGCCTTTCAAGCCTGCATGAAGGGACACATTTTTTGTCCGTCAAATGGAAATGGGATGGGCTCCTAAAAACCATAACCTCAAGAGGTAGGACTGCTGTATCCAAAGGAACCACAAATGTTCCAAAGCATCACAAATCTGCAGTGATATCTCATGAAGGGTTAGATTATTGCCTCTATAGGAATTCACCCTTACTGTCCTCATAGGAAGGTGAAGACAGATGAAACATTGACCTGGTCCAAACCATGACTTAGCACATACGTGTGAGCATGCTGGCTCTTGGAGAGGAGATTGTGGCTCCTTTGCTCTTCCTCTGGTCCTGCTGCCGCCAGCTAAGTCATGGTTTGGCTTAGCAAGTTGTCCAATGCCAGGCTTATGGTTTATCTTCCTCCAGATGAACCATGAGCCTTAACATGCTAATTGTGCATTTAGGCCCCCACCTAGTGGCCTGGGCGTAGCAAGGATTTTTTTGGTGGGGGGAGTTGTTGAGCTTTTTGGGGGAGATCACGGGTAAAAAAACAAAAACAGCCCCAAAATAGGGCATTATTGTGGGCAGGCTTTTGTTAGAGGGGCAGGCTTCTGCTTGATGGGCGGAACTTTAGTTAATTACCAGTAAGTATTTCTAATGCTTTTCAATACAGTGGCTCATTATGGGAATTATGTGTTATAACTGGGGGCCCCTGTTAGAGAATGTTGTTCCAGTTGATGTTGTGGCACACAGGAAGGCAACAAATAAGATGGACATAAGGTAAAGGTAAAGGGACCCCTGACCATTAGGTCCAGTCGTGACCGACTCTGGGGTTGTGGCGCTCATCTCGCTTTATTGGCCGAGGGAGCCAGCATACAGCTTCCAGGTTATGTGGCCAGCATGACTAAGCCGCTTCTGGCGAACCAGAGCAGCACACAGAAAACACCGTCTACCTTCCCACCAGAGCGGTACCTATTTATCTACTTGCACTTTGACGTGCTTTCGAACTGCTAGGTTGGCAGGAGCTGGGACCGAGCATCGGGATCTCACCCTGTCGCAGGGATTTGAACTGCCGACCTTCTGATCGGCAAGCCCTAGGCTCTGTGGTTTAGACCACAGTGTGGGTCCACTTCTTATTTTACCTATGGGGATCCAGGCTTCTCAATTTTGTGTTTAAAAAAGGAAGCTTCTTGAACCCAGATATGCTGGAAAATATGAGCCTCTACACTTTCCCATACCCAAACCAAATCAATACCTTGGTTTCACTCTTGTGACTGCTCTTGATGAATGCTCAGTGCCAGGGAACGCAGCCAAGGGGTAGGGCTTGGAATGCCAGGTAGGCCAGGGAGCAGGGATGCCATGCAGATAGATGAGGGTCTGCCCCCAGTCTCTGCTCTCCACGCAGCCGGGCGTTTCCCTGGCGAGTTCTGACAGACAAGGCCTCACCTCACCCCAGCAAGAGATGCACAACAGATTGTAAACAGGGAGACTCCACCGGTGCCTGAAGGCAGGGAGGGGGAAGCATGTCAGATATTCTGCCAAGTGAGGGCCATGGCTGGGGAAAGAGCCGTATTTTAGCTATTCACCATGCAGAAGGAAATTTCGGGGTGGGGGTGGCGTGTTTTGCAGATGGTGTTGTTAAGAGGGTGTTGCAGGCAGTTTAAAGTCTTAGAATGTCTGCCTGCATGAATCCCTTCCCCACATACTGAGCGGAGGCAGATGCTGTCGCCTGTTGACACACTCCTCTTTGCACTGAGCTTTTGGGATTAAAGTTATGCATGTGCCTGCAATCCACTGGATTCTCAACTCGGTAGAGAGAGAAACGCAGCCTGACCTCACCTAGCGACAGAGACATCAGAGATGAAAGAGACAGTGAAGCACAGTTTACAGAGAGGGAATAGAGTCTGGGCAGGAAGAGGAAGAAGAAAGGGCACGCAAGGGAAGGGAGAGCTGTTTCCTACTAGGTTGCTCAACTCAGTAGTCCCCAACCCTCTCCAAGCTTCTACACTCACATAAGTAGCCGCAAGCGAGTGCAGCTGGTGTTCCAGGTAGCGAGTAAGGTCGTACGTCTGCTGGATAGACTGTCTGGTGGTAGTCACTTGGTCCGTGCTGTTCAGTGCAGGCACCACAGGCAGGTTCCAGAGCGTGGCACACAGGAAGGCAAGGATCCCCCACGAATCTCCTGCAGGGAGCACACTTGTAAGGAGCTGTGGGCGAAGGGAGCACTGTGACAGGGGGAGCAAAGCCTGCATCGCCCATTCCCACCTCACACCACCATTCCCAGGAGAAGACACAGGGACAAAGTGCTCAACGCAGCCTGCTTCTATAGCCCAGTTCATATAAAAATATATACCCCAACATTTATTGCATAGTCCAAAGACGGCAGTTCAGACCTCCAAAGAACTTGGCTGAGAGTTGTCCAGGGTTTTGATGCTGGCCCCACCTTGGATAACAACAGGGACAAAGAGAAGGAGCAAACTACAAAAAGGACTTTGCCACCACCACACCCTTTGCCCAGGGCCACAGCAGCCTTGTTCTCTTCATGTAAACAAGATGGTTCCAACTGCCCTCTAACCACTACCAACTCATCAGAAACTTTTGTTGTTTTCCAATGCACAGTCTGATCCCATTCATCATGCCAGTAGAAATAAGACAAACTTTCATCATGACCGTGGCAGGGCAGAAAGGGTTAACTTCTCTCCCTCCCCACCACCCAAATGGCTTCTATTAGCATTTACATTACAGAAAGTGTGCATGTTAACTGCATTCACACAACTGATGCTATATCTAGGTTGGGCCCCAAGGAACGATGGGAACTGGAGACAAGGGTCATCAACCTGGTTCAAGGCAAATAGGCCACACATAATACAGTCGTACCTTGGTTTTCGAACAGCTTCGTTCTCAAATGTTTTGGCTCCCAAACACCGCAAACCTGGAAGTTACTGTTCTGGTTTGCTAACTGCTTTTAGAAGCCGAATGTCTGACAGGGCTTCTGCTGCTTCCGATTGGCTGCAGGAGCTTCCTGCAGCCAATCAGAAGTTGCACTTTGGTTTCCGAATGTTTTGGAAGTTGAATGGACTTCCAGAACGGATTCCATTCAACTTCCAAGGTATGACTGTACCTGTTTTTCCACAGGCCCCTCCCCACCAGCATTCACTGCTGTAGATGCATAATGCAGGACCCTGGATGGCAATGGGTCATTCTAAGGATCTTTACTAACCACACCGTGAAAATTTAGATTTGGGGCAAGAGACTGTTTTTGTGGCAGGACATGGCCAATGCTTTAGGTCAGGGATGGAGAGCCAGTTGCCTTCCAGGTGTCATTAGCCTACAACTCCCATCAGCCCCATCCAGCATGGCCAACAGGGAATGATGGGAATTGTGGTCCAACAACATCTGGAGGGCATCAGGAGCCATATCCATGTTATGGGCAAGTGGAGCAGGCTGGTGGGAGAGTTTAGGTTGGTGATCAAGTTCATTGCTACATGTGTAATATCTAACTGCACCTGCTTAGTAAATACAGTATCTGTTTTCACATTATGTGTACAGGTTAGGGGACTGCACTGAGTACATAAACAGAATATCAACCCAAGCTGGAGTTTTTCTCCCTAACTTTTAATTTTTTTAGGCCAAAACAATGCTGTTTGAATTTTGTAATTCTGAATATCATAGCATTTTGAGAGTGAGATGCTGGGTTACAATAGATGAGGAGAAATATATGGCGGTGAGGACATGTATGTGGCTGAATATACTCAGAAACTGCAGACGTGGAGAAAAAACATGGATTTCCACATTTCTTTTGTGGGAACTAAGTGTGGCTTCTTCGTTTGACTTCCCCAGTCTGTCAGATGCTGAAGCTTCTGTGTGTGTCTTCTGATTCCAGCAGGCCAAGGCTGGGAACATGGTTGTGCCTGCATAGCCACCACGGAAGCCTACCCCATAACTCATGCCAAGGCCTCCCACTTGTGATGATTCACCCATGAAACACGCAGCCCGGCCCTGGCCACTTGCGCTTCATTAAAAACTATCCCGCGGCATTTTCCTGCTTGCACCACGCCCAGCCCCAGCCCAGACGATTCCATCCTGCTTCAGTGCTTCCGCTGTTCTTCCCACTGGGGATGAGGCCCGCCCATTCCCTCTCCTACGCACTTTGCACAATTCAACCCTTTTCTTCCCTACAGATTCCTTTACGGTCAACAACAAGAGCCTAAGGGCAGGTGCTCCCAACCAGCAGGGGGCTCTAGTGAATGCGTCTTCATGGGGAAGCTATTAAACAACCTATGGCCTTTTAAACGTGCTTTAAAAAAAAAATAATGTGACGCCTTTGTGTTTTTATATTGTAAACATATGTGAACTTTGGGTGAAGGACAGTAGATAAATTTATTATATAATACAGTCGTAGCTCGGAAGACGAATTGAATCCATTCCGGAAGTCCGTTTGACTTCCAAAACATTCAGAAACCAAGGCACAGCTTCCGATTGGCTGCAGGAAGCTCCTGCAGCCAATCAGAAGCCGCGCCGGACATTCCGGTTCCAAAGAATGTTCGCAAACCGGAACACTTGCTTCCGGGTTTGTGGCATTCGGGAGCCAAACCGTCCGAGTTCCAGGGCGTTCGGCTTCCAAAGTACGACTGTACAATATATAATACAGTATCTTCAAAATGGTTGTCCTTCCCACTTGCTCCACTAGGCAGGAACATGCAAATGGAGCTGTTGTTAATTTCTAAATCACAATAGTAGTTATAACTTTTAAAATCATAATAGTGGTTGTACTTCCTTAAAATGCATGATTCTATAGTTTGTGCTAGGGTGCTCTATACAGTCTATACTTCATATTGTTCCTGTCAAGATAATATGAGATAAGGAAACAGTGTAGAGGATTCCACTGCTGTTTTCATCCAGGATCCAAAGAGTTCATAGAACCATAGAGTTTTAGAGTTGAAAGGGACCCCGAGAGTCATCTAATTCAACCCTTAGCAATGGCTAAATCTCAACTAAAGCATCATAGTTGTCCATCTAGCCCTGTTTAAACCGTGATCCCAATCCTGTCTGGTCCTCTGCATACAAGGCAGAGCAATCCAAGCACTAGTTGGACTGCTGCAGATTCATGAGAGAGAGCCCTGAGACCTTCTCCCACTGACTCACACACAATCTACTACAATCTCACGTAGTCAGTCCCTGAGGCTAGTACCCTCATGGTTAAGGATTTGTGTTTATTTCCAAGTTTAGTCTAAATATGTCTAGTTCTAGCCCTTAATTATCCTGATATATGTCTGCTGTCTGCAAAATTACACAACCATCAAAAATCTTCTTCCTTCAGATATCACATCTAGCATACTTCCCCCAATATATATACGCAGATGGGAAAATAATGGGATGTGCTAAAAAAACCAACGACGGGACTATTGTCAGAGAACCACTTAGCATTCTTAATAATTCTTTCTGAAAGCTTTGCATTGATAAGGAACAGACCAGACACTTACAAGCAGCTGCCTGAACTTCGATTGCAAGGAACAGGAAAAAAGGAGCGGCACCCCCATACAATTACTAAGTGTTCCTAAAAATCTGAAAAACACTAGTAATGGAAAAGGTGACCCATCGAGCCTAATGCCCAAACGAATGAAAGAAAACAACATCTCTTTAGAGCTGTGGTGGAAATAGCTGGAATCTGCTAAGTATCTTGTCCTCTTGAAAGCTGCTTTGAATATTTTAATTCTGAAAAACATCCAATCTGCACTTGTAACAGTTTATATGTTACAAGTGCAAGTCAGATCCCCCCTCAATGTTTTGATATATCAGAATGAAACTGTTAATAAATAAGTTTTTTTTAAAAAAAGAAAGTTATCCTTACGTTGTTCTCTATGCAGATGACTAAATTACTTTTTAATATCCCATTGTATAACCTAAACAGAGAAGTGCATCTTAAATTCCCACGGTGAGACGTCATAGCATTTTGGATAGTTGCTCTGCAGTTTTCAGCAAAGCTCCTTCAAGAAATCCTCTCAATTTTTTACCAAACGAGAAATGCGTACTAGAAATGTTTTGAAATGGATAATTGCAGCATGGTATAGCATTCTAATACCGGTTATCTCCTAGCAAAGGGAAAACCATACTTCTTGCTTTATATCTCATTATGTACACAGCCAAGAATCGCACGTGCTCTATAAACCACAGCATCTCTGTTAAGGTTCATTGCTTGTATTACTACTAGCAGTACTGTATTTTTTTATATCCCACCTTTTCCCCAGATAGGGTCTCAAGGCGGCTTACAAAAATCAAAGCAAGTTGGAATAAAATGTAAAAGGCTAAAAACATAGAAAAGATGAAACTTAAAAAGTAATTAAACTTTAACTGAATTAACACAATATTTAAAAAACCTATTAAAATACAGATAATGAAAATGGTACAGCACTGTTAAAAGCCCTTTCCTTAAAAATCATAGATTCTATGAAAAACAGTTAGTTTTTCCCAGGTTATTTTTCCCTGACATCTATGGGCACCTTCATATGGGGAGTGCTGGCCATGCTGGGCCAGAGCCCTTAGTGCTCGCAAACCACAGGAGGACTATGCTAAGTAGTCCATAACAGACCAAAGATTAGCAGAGTCAGAATGGGTGGCACGGACCAAGTGCAGCATAAAATCCCCAGAACAGGTGCTACTTCTTCCTTGAGATAGCTTCCCCCACTTCTGGTTTAGTGTTCTGCAGCATTAAATCAGCTGTGGTGAAAGCTGCCATCTGGACACAGCCTAAGAGTGTGACCTATAGTCTTCACTCCTCGACAAATGATTTTACAACAGGTCCTCCAGTTCTAATGACCCCATTCTAAGAATTGATCACTGCCACCACATATAACTGACACCGACCTTGTTATTTATCACTACACGGATTTTCTATGTTTCTGACTATAGCATTTTCCAGGCCATTTGGCGGTCATATGGCCACAATTGCCCATTATGGGCTTTAAATCGGAGAATATTTAAGGATTATATGGGATCCCCATGGCACAGTTTATTGACAAGAATTACTAGCGTCAGTACGAAACTGCAGTGAACGTGAGATGCTCTGCATGATCTAATGAGCGAAATGAATGTAGAACATTGTGAAATGGTATTTCTGCAATGGGAGGTCACATACTAAAGCATTTCACATACACATCAGATTCCGACTCTTGAATTCCTAAAAAATTAATGGAGAAGCTATTTTTCAGAAGAGAATTCATTAGCAAATTGACACTGCATCCCATTGTTAAAATAAAAATACCAAAGGTACTTTGTGCTTCATTTGCTGTTATAGCAGGAATCTAGTACAGAAATCAACAACTGGAGGCCTCAGGGTCAAATCCACCCCACCCCTCCGAGTAACATCAGTGTACACACACACACACACACACACACACACACACACACACTTTCCAAGCCAGAAACAAGAGAGGAGTGATGGGAGTGGCAGCTGTGTCAATGCAACATTTTGGTACATAGCCCACTTTTGGGGAATGGTGGTTGGGTTGCTCTGGTTGAATCACACTCCACTCCATTCCCTTCTCATATCAGAAGAAGAAGAAGAGTTTGGATTTGATATCCCACTTTATCACTACCCGAAGGAGTCTCAAAGCGGCTAACATTCTCCTTTCTCTTCCTCCCCCACAACAAACACTCTGTGAGGTGAGTGAGGCTGAGAGACTTCAGAGAAGTGGGACTAGCCCAAGGTCACCCAGCAGCTGCATGTGGAGGAGCGGAGACACGAACCCGGTTTCCCAGATTACGAGACTACCGCTCTTAACCACTGCACCACACTGGCTCTCTCACCTAGGTCAGCTGGTAAAGCCCATGCTTTACTTACAAAACATTTCAAGCTCAGTCCCTGGAATCCCTACTGAAGACAATCACAGGGAGCAAGGTTGAGAAGGCTGCTGGCAGTCGGAATAGACAAGGCTGGGCTAGATGGAGCAATGGTCTAACTCAGAATAAAGCCTATTCATAGGAAATGTATGTTCGTACCAGGGGATTTGTTATTTTTGCTTTGGTGTTCCAGCAGATACACCTTTATGTTTAAATTGTGAAATATAGTTCACATCCCAGGTAACAGAATATATACGCTTTACATTTCTGCTGCTCTAATTCCTCCGCTTGGCTTTTAACTCCACTGTACCTTCACCCAAGTTTTTAGACGTCTCATCAACTTTTCATTCCACTTCATGCATCTGATGAAATATATTATCGCCTAAACTTAAAGAATGGATTTTAGATTTAGTTCATATTGGATTGGAGAGAAGGCAAATGCTCTATATTATACCTGACACAAGAAAAATACTGTATTCTGTATTATAGAAGGCTTTTTCAAGCCTAAACATGGCACCGGAGAGGGGTTATTTTTTGGTGTGAAGGTTGCAGCACGTGGGGAAGGGTTAAACCTCCCTCCCCAGCTGCAACCCTCCTCCCTCTGAAATTGTCCCCCACAATGCAATTAGACTAGTGTGTGTGTGTGTAGCCTTTTATTGGCTGCAGCAAGAGGCTTTTTCCAAGCCTAATTGCAGCTGAGGATGGGCGAGGCAAGGCCTCTGAGGACCAGACAGGGAAGCCCCAGGGGCCACATCTGGCCTGCGGGTGAGCCTCTACCATCACCTCTGTGAGCTCAATGCACTCTAAATGGACAGCCAAGGCCTTATTAGTTGGGCAAGTACTGTAGATGCCAAATGAGTTTGAGCTAGAATCTGATAGGAAAAGAACAGCTCAGAACTTTGGATGTATTTAAGTCATGTTCGACTAAAGTGCGGAGGAGGGAATACATTTACTCCATAAAAGCAGATCCAATATTTTACAGAGTACCTTAAGATCCACAAGGGAGGGACACAGGGAAGCAAACTGCCTGTGAAAAACAGGAGGTTGCTCCTCTAGTCATCAGCACCAAACATTCAACACTACAGTATGCAGCCAACACAATAGGGGTGTACTTTAAAAAAAAAACCAAATAGCAGTCAGCTCTGGAAGTGTCATCACAGCCTTCAGCCCAAATGTACCTTTCCTCTCAAGGGGCAGCAGAGTGCAGGAGTGGGCCGTTCTGTAGGTTTGAATCAGCAGCTGGCTGTGCCAGGAGCTGACTGGCTGGCACCCACAAGGCAAAATTTGCTCCCTAAGCTGGGAGTAGCTTTGCACTTTTAAAAAGCTTCTTTTTAAAAAACGAATGCCAACGATAAATGCATGAACATTCACGTTGTGCTTTAAAAATCTATTGAAAGGCAGACACGGTGCCTGAAGCATAGGGGGGGTGGAGGACAGTAGTTAAGAGCTGAGTCAGCATTTGATTCACCTGTGTGTGCAAGTCTTCCTTTTCAAATGTGAAGCTAGGAGGGAACCAGACTTATCCTGCAGCTGAGGGATGCACCATGAGCCCTTGTTTTGTATTGCATCTCTCTTCATTCTAAGCACACGGCTTTCGTCTCCTAGCCTGATAAAAGCACACTGAGAGAGATCAAGGAATGGTGCACGCAGCTCAAAGCGGCTGGGCAGCTTGCCCCAAACTTTGAGAGTCATCTGACAATTCATACAACACAACCAAACAACCTTGAATGTTCAGCTAGGAGCAGCTTAAAGAGCAGAGGTTTCCATGTCCTATAAGCATTTGTAGTAAATATAGAAATACAGTGCCATTTCTACATGCACACAGCAAAAATGGTTTTTAAATGACTTGGGAGTGGGGAACAAAATTATAAATATATAGATACACATCCTAGAGCTGTAATTTTAAGTAAAGTAAAGGTAAAGGTACCCCTGCCCGTACGGGCCAGTCGTGTCCAACTCTAGGGTTGCACGCTCATCTTGCTCAAGAGGCCGGGAGCCGGCGCTGTCCGAAGACACTTCCGGGTCACGTGGCCAGCGTGACAAAGCTGCAACTGGCGAGCCAGCACCAGTGCCGCACACGGAAACGGTGTTTACCTTCCCGCTATAAAGCGGTACCTATTTATCTACTTGCACTTACGGGTGCTTTCGAACTGCTAGGTGGGCAGGAGCTGGGACCGAAGATGGGAGCTCACCCTGCCGCGGGGATTCGAACCGCCGACCATGCGATCAGCAAGGTTTTACCCACAGCGCCACCCTGTAATTTTAAGTACTTGTCTCTAAGTACTATAGAGAGCTGCAGGAATTAGTGACAAGTAATTTTAAGTATTTGTCACTAATTCCTGCAGCTCTCTATAGTATTTCTACTGTACTACACAAGCACATTGTTCTATTCTCCCATGTTTAGGCAAGCCTATAAAAAATGTAAAAGTTACATGTGTTTTATTTATTTTTAGCTACCGTTCATTTTAATTATCTTTTGAATATTCTTAAATCCCTGTTTTTAACGTTTTATTATTATTTTTAATAAACCGCTTAAAGGTTTTCAAGCAGTATATAAATGTTGCTAAATAACATCACACCACACCACAATTCTTGGAATCTGCCTTTTTCTGCATTGTGATTGAAAATTTCCACATTATTAGCTGGTAGGGGATCTATAACATTGTTACAGCTATGTTCCTTTATAGTGCAGTCATTCATAAAAAAGCAAAGGTAGTCATGTTAGTCCATAAGAAAAAATGTACAGTAGTTGTAGTAATAATAATAATAATAATAATAATAATTTTATATGCCACCTATCTGACTGGGTTACCCCAGCCACTGTGGACAGCTTCCAATGAATTAAAACACAGTAAGAAATCAAACATTAAAAATATTGCACATAGCTGCCTCTTTTCACCAATATTACTTAGCTTGCCCCATTATTTTTATGTCTTCCAGCGGGTACAGAATGCTGCAGCGAGGCTCCTCACGGGGTCTCTGCCATGGGAGCATATTCACCCAGTGCTTTTCATGCTGCACTGGCTCCCGGTGGAGTACGGGATCAGATTTAAGGTGCTGCTTTTGACCTTTAAAGCCCTTCACGGCCTAGGACCCTCGTACCTACGGGACCGCCTCTCCCGGTATGCCCCACGGAGAGCCTCAAGGTCCATAAACAGCAACACCCTAGTGGTCCCGGGGCCTAAGGAAGTTAGATTGGCTTCAACCAGAGCCAGGGCCTTTTCAACTCTGGCTCCGGCCTGGTGGAACGCTCTGCCTCATGAGACCAGGGCCCTGCAGGATCTGATTTCTTTCCGCAGGGCCTGTAAGACAGAGTTGTTCCGCCTGGCCTTTGGCTTGGAGCCAATTTGATTCCCTCCCTCCCTCTCTTTCTTTTTTCTTTTCCTTCTCCTCCTGCAATGAGGCTACATTTTAATATTTTAATGTTCCATTATTTTAATGTTGTATTTTATTTTTGGTTTTAAGTTGTAATCATTCATCTTGTTTTTATTATTGCTTGTAAGCCGCTCTGAGCCCGGCCTTGGCTGGGGAGGGTGGGGTATAAATAAAAAAATATTATTATTATTATTATCAATATGCAATTGAAGGACTATTGATATTCCATTAAGATTTTAATGGAATTATAAGCAACTAAGCAGACACAACCCCTACCCTCTTCACATTTTAAAATCAGTTTCTTTCTTTCTTTCTTTTTAATTTTATTTATGATTTTCATTTATATACATTTCAGTCGTAATTTAACAATAATTCAGACATTTCAAATCTTGTCTTCTTTCCTCTTCTTTCTGCAGTTCATTAAATTTTTATCAGCATTCCCTACATATTCTAAGTTATATTAAATTCTTTAAATCATCATTCTTTTATTCATCTATTTTCACATATCTGTATTTTAAAAACTGCAGGTTATTACAATAGTCTTGCCAGTGCTTTTATCTGTTTGCAATTTGTTTGTAAATATTCAATATACCATTTCCATTCCTTTATAAAAAGTTTGTTATCCTGATTTCTTATTCTTCCAATAAGTTTTGCCATTTCTGCATAGTCTATAAGTTTTTGTAGCCTTTATTCTTTCATCTGAATTCCTTCATCTTTCCATTTTTGGGCAAATAACATTCTTGCAGCTGTGGTTGTAAATAAATTTCTATACTGTCTAGGTAAATCTGCACCTATAATTCCCAAAAGAAAAGCTTCTGTGTTTTTTTTACAAATGTTAACTTAAACATCTTTTTCAATTCATTATATATCATTTCCCAGTACACTTTTACCTTACTACAAGACCACCACATATGATAAAAGGTGCCTTCTTTCTCTTTACATTTCCAGCTTACTCAATTTTGATTTATACATTTTTGCCAATCTAGTAGGTTTCTTTCTTCTCTTTAAATCTTTCTTTCTGCTATTACAAAATGGTCCTCTTGAACTAGGCATACTACTGATAAAACTATCTTCTTTTTGCAAAACAAATGCAATTAGCTTGCGAACATTTACCCCTAGTCAGCCACCAGTATTTAGTTTCATGATCAGTCTTATCTTTAGCTGTCCAAGATCTAATATAGATTTTAGAGCACAGCAACTTTTAATATGAGTCTTAAGCATACTAAACTTTTTTCTTTCCCAAGCTATAACAAGCCAGGAAGTAGAGAGGTCAGGCTCCATCCTGATGCTGTCATACATTTGGCAAACGTATGTGGTATGCTACACTGCTACCTGTATTCATTAGCTAGCCCAACTTTGCTCTAGATAAGCAGATTCCAAAACCATTTTTTTAAAAAAGAGGAAAAGCAAAGCAAAACGAGTCAGCCTATATGGAGCATTGTAGTAAAAAGACAGGTTAATACAAAGCACTTGGAATGAGATGGAATTAATGCATGAATAGTTTTGTATACCCAACCCCTAGAATGAGTTAAATCAACTCCTTGTCTTTCTCCTTCCCTTTCCCTTGGCGTCTTCTTGGGTTTCGGAATGTATCTTGATGGTGGAGGTGGGAATGATTAGTGATAAAGAGTAGTAGGGTCTTAGTTCAGAATACCATAGAACTGTGTGCCAGATGTAAGACAACATCAGCGTGAACCTCAACCGCAGATTTCCTGTCTTGTTCTACATCAGCAAAGGACAGATGCAGGAGACAGGAATCGTAACTCATGTTCGGCGTGTTTTGCAACGATGGATGTGCGCTGGATTTTTCTGGCATCTTTACGCTGCTGACAAAGGAATGGGGAGAGTGGCTTTTCGCAAAGCATCACATCCTTTTGTGAGCTTGTGTTGCAGAGGGAAAACTGTTTCCTGAAACACGCAGGCGCTCTGTGAAAAGCCACTGCAGCAGCATGTCGTTGTATGAGCCTGTAGGAAGGCGCCAAAGGTGTGCTTTGCTTAGCAACCTGGAATCACAAGCCGGCAAGCGGTTGATGCTTGCTGGAGCTTGCAGAGCTGCTGCTGTGCAATCTGTGGGACTATCAGTGGGACTTTCTGGGGAAGCCCCCACAAAACCCCAGTAAATTTGGTATCTCAAATCAGCATTTAATTGTACCTGCTACCACTTTAATTAAAAGCTACAACCACATAGGTCCTTTGCCTCTGCTGCTGTTAACATTTCTGTTACGTAATTGCCCCTTGCAGCTTTCTCAGAAACATAGCTCAGTTGGGTGAGCACTAAATTCTCGATCTCAGGGTTGTGGATTCGAGCCCCATGTTGGGCAAAAGATTCCTGCATTGCAGGGGGTTGGACTATATGACCCTTGAGGTCCCTTCCAACCCGACAATTAGATGATTCTATGTGAAAGTTGTGCTGTATTTGGGCCATGTTTTTGTACTGAGATTTTATGAATTTAAAGCACATAGAGCCTAGGAGGAGGAGGAGGTGGAGAAGAAGAAGAAGAAGAAACATTTTAGTAGGAATAATAGTAGTAATCAGTGCTTTTTTTCTAGAAAATTCACTATGAAGTTGTTACAATAAATGTCAGTTTTTAACCAAAAAGAAGAGGTTCCGGTACTGTGTACCCTTGAATACCTGGGGGGGGGGGGAGCACTGGCAGTAGTTGGTTTTCCTACAAAGAAGTAAGCATGCAGCGTCCCCCTTTGAAGTGTGTTTCATTGCCATGTACAGGCAAATATTATAGCTGTATCTATTGTCAGTTAGTTAATTACTTTGATTGATCACTATTGCAGTAGCCCCTGCTTTTCCCCAGGGAGATTAGGGACAGCCTACATGGGAATATCCTATAGCCTTCCTTTGTTACGATTTTAATTCAGCACATTAATTATGGTGACAGTTATTTGAAACATTTTTATCCCACCTTTCCATAGAAATAGCCAAGGTTGCTAACAACATCAAAACAATCAAATAGTGATCAATCATTATCATTTACAACCCTTTCTCTGTTGGCCTTTTTTTTGGGGGGGGGCGGTCATCGCTGTGACTCCAGAGCATATTCTATACTCAGAGAGAAGAAAGTCAGTTTTACGGAACAGAGAGAAGGAAAACATGTAGTCTTAACAGGGAGAAGTGTTCAGAAAGGCCTGTGGAGTGAGATGGGATGCTGAGAGTCACAGAGGAATGAACAGAGAATGGGTTAAAAAGAAGGCACTGAATTAAAATTCTAACAAAAAGTTTTTCCACAGTTAATGTGGAATCTGTGCACCACCACTAGTGTTCTCTTTGTCTTCCTAGCTCTATTTTTTCTACTCCCTTTTCTCTGTTTTCCCCCTCCACAGATCTCTCTGTATCCCCATCTTGCAGTTCTCCTGGTCTTTCACTCTTTACCCACTATAGGAATCAGGTGCTGAGTACACCTCTTTCCAGAAACTCTGCTTTCCTTTGGACCACATCAATGAGATGGGGGGGGGGTCTTGTTGTCTGGGCAGCCCAGGATCTCCATACATACTCCCCAGGCTTGTGCACTTAAGAAGTCACTTCAGTGCACCTCCTTTTCTCTCGAGACACTGCCAGCATTAAAGAACCTCCATAGTTCAGCTACCTTCTTCCCCCCCCCACAGCCCACTATGCAGGAAACTCTCTCCTTTCTCATTTCCCAATATCCTCTTTTTCTTCCTTCCATTTTTTCCCTTTCCCCTCTCTACCTCCTCATCGGGAAGTTGAGCAGCAACAAGTCAAAAAGCTTTCACTCCCTGAAACCTGTCTTGTTTATTAGTGCGTATTGTTCATTAGTGTGCATACATTAGTACTGTATTGTTAATTGTTTTGATTATTTCTATTGTGTTTCTATTGTTTTTAATTTGTGTATTTTGTGCTTTGTATACTGTAACTTTGTGTTGTGGGCCACCCTGAGACCTATGGATATAGGGTGGTATATAAATTCAATAAATAAATAATAAATAATAAATAAATATTTCTGGAAGAGTCGCCTGAGCTGTGTAGAATGACTGGCTGCAACAGGCAGTGGTGGAGCATCATGCTCCGGCACTGGGGGGGCGGAGAGCAGGCAGGGGTGGGGCTGGCACATGTCCCGGGGGTGTGACATGCATCCTGGGGGCGTGGTGTGGTGCCTAAGGGGGCGTGGCGCCCAGCACGGGCGGGGGGGGGCAGCTGTGATGGCACTCCACCAGGATCGCGCTGCCAGGGCGGTGAATTCCCCCCACACTCCTCTTCCTTCGCCAGAGACAGCAGGCAGGAACTGGGGAGTGGGGAAGAGAAGCAATAGAGAGGGCAGGGTGTTGGCTTTCCTTCTCACACCTCCACCCTCACTTTATGGTGCTGGCAGCAGATTCAGTTATGTAAATATAAATATGCTCCAGTGACACAGAAAAAGAAGGATGTTGAAATCTATATACCAGCCAGCATGGTGTAGTGCTTACAAGTATTGGACTAGGACTTAGGAGTCCAGAATTCAAACTCTCATTTATCTTTTTCTTTTTTTAAAAAAATAATATTTATTAATTTTCAACCATTTAAACACAACAAAACAGAAAGACAAAAATAAAAAGAAAGAAAAAAAAGAAAAAAAAGAAAAACATAAAACTAACAAAGCATGACACAAACCATTTCAAACACAGAACAATTTCAATGTCTTATCTTTCATTCCCTTATTTCCACGACCTCCTCACACCTCCCTTTCTGTTTTCCACTTCTATTAATTATTTCAGCAATTCCTTTCCATCTTCCTGTTTTCTATCCTATAATTATCTTGACATATTCTAGCCTTATTTTCCCTTTAATACACTATTAATCTATTTATACTTGATTCCTTATAGCATTTCTACTAAAGCCATATAACTTCATTCCAACATTTTTCAAACATTCATTATTTTTACAGTATTTCTATAAATAGTCTTAAACTTTTCCCAGTCTTCTTCCACCAGCTCTTCTCCCTGGTCTCGGATTTCTGCCAGTCGTTTCCGCCAATTCCATATAGTCCATCAACTTCATCTGCCATGCTTCCCGAATGGATAAATCTTGTGTCTTCCAGTACTTCACAATGAGTATTCTTGCTGCTATTGTTGCATACACGAGACAAATTCTATCCTTCTTTAACACCAATTGACCGACCATGCCCAGGAGAAAGGCCTCTGGTTTCTTCAAAAGGGTATATTTAAATACCTTTTTCATTTCATTATGAATCATCTCCCAGAGTGTCTTAATCCTTGGGCATGTCCACCAAAGGTGAACTCTAATCCTCAAATTCGTCTGTTTTTCCTTAAGTTCAGTCATAGCGAGCATCAACTTATGTTCATCAAATTGCCTCTGTAGGGCTGGGGCTCTCTTTCTCTTTCTCTCCAGTTGTGTTTCTGTACCTTCAACAGCAACAGCTTTTTCCTTGACTTCCTCCACAGCTTGCCATATCAAAATAGGTTCTTGTATCAATTTCTGGGTGGTTTCTGTATTGGTATTGTCCATACTCCCTGCATTCAAGTCAACCTCAACAATTGAAACATCCACTTTCGCATTTATCATGTCCATTTTCCTGTGAAGCTGATCCAATGAGTCATTTATCTTATATAATGCAGCCACCAAAGCCTCTTCTGTCGACATTCCTCTTAGTTTCAAATATACTAGTACAAAGACAGCAACAAAAAAGAACAGGAGGGCCTAATAATAGACCTCTCCTGGATTGTTACCAAGTCCTCCCAGACCTTAATGTTTTATCAACAGTTGACTGGTCTGTTTTTCCTCTTCCATTTACCATAACATTTGAAAGATTCAAGGTCAGTCCCAGAGTCTCACGGTTTTTAACCTGCAGCTGGAAATTCCCTAGTCCAACTCTTGTAAATCAACCAGTTTCAAAGGCTTCCACTAGGGGGAAACAGTTTCTATTTGTAATAGTCAATAGTATCCTCTTTTAAACAATCCAAAGTTAGTTTCAAATTAGTTTCAATTTTCAGTTACTTTTACTCCTTTTTAAAGCAGCCGGAGACAGTAGAAACAATGTATTTCTCTTATTTAGCTAGCTGTCAATGAACGTTCTAAGCGCTGTCAATGAACATTCCAAAAGACGTCAGTCCTACTAGCAGCCCGTTTCCAGGGTCAGAGTGGAGGTGTTTTAAATCTCTTCGCTCTCTCCCGCAGGCATACTCAATCCGCAACTTCCCCCTCTCTTCTCCTGCCTCCAAGAGGGGGTTTAATGTTCTTTACCGTTGGAAATTTGATCTTTTACAAAAGACCTTCTAGGACTCCAGCTTGCAAGTTCATTGCCTCAGTCTATTTACACAAGGGGAAGGCGGACTTCCTGTTTTGAACCTCCCCGTTACGATACCAAATCAAACTTTTAGAAATCCAATTCTTCCGTTTCAGCTCTACTCACGGGTAATTACTCTAAAGTCAAATTGTCCACAGGAAAAGGTCAGCGCTCTCCAGCAACAGCTGTGCAGCTTCGCTCCGTGGAAGAAGCAGACGATTCAATGCACCGTGCCGCTCACCCCACGTCGCTCCGGAGCCCCAAAAACCGGGGTTCCCCGCGAGTGGGGGAGGCGCAAAAGGTGCCCGCCAAATCCCACGTTCACAGGCTTCTCCCGCCTGTGATTTTAACAGGTCTCCGCCTTCGCCGTGGCGGCCAGACCCAGATTTCCACGGAGCAGATTCCTCCCGGTCAGAGGAATTCTGCCATTACCGGAGGCGCCTCCCCCGGAAGCCTCTCAACCTCTCATTTATCAATGACGCTCACTGGGTGACCTTGGCCAGTCACTGTCTCTCAGCCTAAACTATCTCATAGGTTTGTTCTGAGGATAAAATAGGAAGGCAGAGAAGCTTACACACCGTCTTGTGCTCCTTGGAGAAAAAGTGACGTATAAATGTAATAATAAATGAAGAAAACAAAATATTTAGCAGCAAAAGGTGAACTTGGGTAAGGACAGCCAAATCGTTGTGTTGCCCATTGGTTAAATTTTATGTTTCCCCCCAAGTTGAACGTAATTCCAGTATTGGAGCTCAGCTGAGGAGGTATGCACCTGGAAGGCACAGAGAGCAGGGAGGTAAGCAGCAAGCAGGAAAAGGGCTCTGTACTTAACAAGCTATGTGCCCCCTTAGTTTTTAAAAACAGACAGTCACATTATCTTTCCATGCGAATGGCACATATCTGTGTGGCTCTTAGATGACTCCATACGGAAAATGGAAATGGCCCCAAGCCATAGGAATTACTTCAGGAGGGCACAAATGGAGAAGGGGGAACAGTGGGCCAACAGGATTTGTGCTGTGCAAACCTGAAGTTCACTAAGAAATCAGCTGAACGCGTAAATCGACAGCTCACTTCATAATAGCACAGAGCCAGTGTCGTAACTAACCATAACCATGACTGGTGGAAACCATATACAGTATTGTGTGTTGCTATCACTCTCTATTTAAATTAGAGCCTGTAATTTAGAATTAGAATTAAATGAGAAAAGTTCTAATCAGTGGCACTTATTATCCACTATTTATAATGATTTTATTAATTACATGTAGGTAATTTTGATTTGCTGATAACTAAATAAATGTGAAGATGATCTTTGAATGTGTGAAACTATTATAAACTACATGCCATTGGCAGCACCCAATCTTCTGCCCTCCTAGATCATGTGTCTAGTGTTGGGATACCTCTCTCAACATCCTAGTTACACTACTGTCCAGAGCACAGATGCAAAGTGTTGGTGTGCTTTTTTTGCTTTGTTTAATGCGCCCTTCATTGTTAATTACATCCCTTGACAAAGACTTATCCTAACACTAAACCCACTATTGAATATGCCTGTCACTCTGCATAAATGCTGTTATGATGTCCTGAAACCTTAAGGCATTTCCCAGACCCTCCAAGTGTCCCTATTTTCCAGGCACATCCCTGATTTAGAGAAGCTGTCCTGGTTTCTGATTTCATCCCAGAATGTCCCACTTTTCCTTAGGATGTCTTTTTTTCATTGGAGAAATGTTGGAGGGTATGGAGTTTTCTGGCCTCCGAGCCGTCTGAAGGCAATCTTGTATAGGGAAGTTTTTTAATGTTTAATATTTTATTATGTTTTTATATATGTTGGAGGCTGCAAAGAGTGCCTGCGGCAACCCAGTAAGATGTGTGGAGTATAAATAGTTTAATGATCATTATGGAAAGGGAAGGCCCTATTTTCAACAGAGAAATGTTGGAGGGTATGCATTTCCTATACTAAAATAATATTCTCCCCACCCTCAATAGATTCAGTCAGTCAATGAACTGAGAGGCTGACTCAGTCAGGCTAAAACAAGATAGACTACAGTAAAGATTCAGTAATGTCACACAGAATCTTAAAAAGTTGAGGCAATAATTGCAGCTGTTAGGTTGGGTGTAAAGTTTATTCCAGTTTGTAAACTGATAGGGGCCTAGAAGCATCAACAAATACATATAGGTGCTTGTGTATGTGGCTACACCCACCCACCCACCCACCCACACGTAAACAGGTAAGAACTTTAGTATCTCATCCACAATTCAGAGCACTTCCAGACTGTTGCTCTTTTCAGATGAGATGCAAGCAATCGCATGCCGGCAAATTCAGCTTCCTCTAATATATTCTTATACAACAAACCCGCTTCCCACAAAGACCTGACTTTTTGTGATCAGGAAAATGACAAGAAAATGAAACACTTGCTTTGATGTAGGTTCGCCAGAGCTCCTCACAACCAAATCTGAATGAATGCTCATTTAAAAAGCTCAATGCTAATCTCCCTGCAAGCAAATCTGAATGAATCCTCCACGAACAAATCACCAGGAAGTACCTTCGAGAGCAACTGGGGAAAAGGTATCCCTGTTTAACAACTAGCTGTGGTGCTCTTAAGATGTGCCTGAACTGTATTGGTATGGGAAGTGACTTCTATGTATATGTTAGTGAAATCATGAACATCTGGAATCCATCAGGGTAGCAGCCGTGATCAAACTCAATCTCTCTCGCTTCTCCAAAATTCAGGCCCCGTTGCCACTGAGCTATAGAAGGAACCATAGTAGTAGCTGGAAGTGAGAGGCATGTGATATATAGGGCAGCAATCACAGGCATATAAACATACACACAGTTCTGCTCAGTGCTATACGAACAAGGTTTTTGCCAATGGCAGATTAAATAGTCATTGGGTCTGAAACATGGTCCAAGGCTCCTTTCTCCAATTGCTCAGAGGTCTCCAAGTTTACAAACAACTGTAATTCCCATTTGGCTTGTTTTTCACCATCTAGCTTTGCTCCCCACCCTCGTAGTCTCACGGAATAAGTAGGCAGGAACACACAGGTAAGAGCTATCAACAGAAAGCAATTCTGCATGCATCATTAGAGTGTTATGGCATAGGATCAATTCTCATAGCATCACCACTCAACTTAAGAACATATGAAGAGCCTGCAGCAGCAGACCAATGGCGCATCCAGTCCAGCATCCTGTAAAACTGTATAATTGCAAATTAATTGATATATGAGCAACGGGCTGGCCTTCTCCCCCTCCAGAAGAGGTGGCAACTCTAAAACAACTGAGTCAGAGGAAACTTGGATCTGGGCTCCCTAGTTCCCCAGGGGCTAGGCTTGATACCACTGCGTGGGCTTGATGGATGATCCTCATTGCTAACTCAATGTTTTTTATGGGGCTCCCAGATGCCTGGGGAAGAGCTCACTGGAACGTGTTCAGTGATTATTGGAAAATGGGTCTTACTGGCCCATCCTGCAAAGATTGGAACGTGGCATATACGTCAAGACTGAGTAAGCAGCTGCTGGAAAATGGGGGCGTTTTCTTTTCCGCAGCACCTCTTAGCTGGGTGACTTTTCTTCGGCTTTTATATTTTCATATGAAAATATTGTATATTTTCTTTGTCCCTGGAGCCCTTGGTGCATCCTGAAATCTCCTTTGCACTTTACCCTAATTAGAGCTGGATGTTATTAACCCTTCCACCATCTTATGACTATCTTAAGAGAACTGTATTAGAAACCGCAGAAGGGAGGGGTCTCTATGCAACTATTGTTAGCGGGATAATTGGTGGTGTGAGTGACAGCAGGAATCAGGGCAAGCAAGCTGAAGGGAGAACAACAAGGGGCGTTTCTAGGCACTTAAAGGACTTACAGGCACAGGCCCGTGGCACAAATTTCCCAGGGTCCTCAATGGCACTGTGCTTTGTTGAATGCTCAGCAGACCACTCTCAGTCTAAGCAGAGTAAAAATATATGATGGTTTTAAAGGGAGGGGTACAGAAAGCCCCATGGGTGGCCCCTCCCAGTGCTCTTGGATAACACGCCTCTTTACCTGAATGCTGAATTTGTATCATTATGTTCTATTTGAAATGGTTTTTATATGTTTTATCACTGTAAAGGTTTCATCTGTTTTTGTAAGGCTGCATACATTTAAAGAACATCCCCCCCAAACCCCAATAATCCGGGAAACTGTAGTTTGTTGAAAATACTGGGAATTGTAGCTTCATGAGGGGTAAACTACAATTATTTGCGTTGGTGTGCCTTTAATGTATGGTGCGTACACAGTCTAATTTTATATTTTATTTTTGTAACCTGATGGTGAGCAGTGGATAAGAAATCTTATAAATAAATAGAAATGAATAATTATGTAAACACCTTGCAGAGAATCCTGCACTTTAGAAAGAAGCAGAAGGCAGGTCATTTCCTAAAGAGCCTCACAACTTCATCTTAACATATGATCAAACAGACAATGAAATGTACCCAACTTTTTGTACTCAAAAGAAATTTCTGGTATATGTTATATGTGCTTCCACAGAAATAGCTCTTTAGCCCCAGGCAGGGTTGCCACCTTTTATTTTTATTTTTTTGCTGGCTCTGCTTTTAAGTGTTTTATCATCATCCGAGCTCACAGAAATTTAGCACATAAAGCTTCGCCCATCATTCCATGTCACCTGTTAAATTTATGTTTCAGGTTGCTGCTAAAGATACAGGGCTGGTGGGGTTGGGGTTTGTTTGTTTTTTTGGTTTTTTTTAAAAAGTGGTAACTGTATCCCAAGCCAATCTGAATGGCGCAGATAAGCACAGGGGTACAGTTTCTTTACACGATGATCCCTACCTATGTTAACACAGTAGTTTTTTATAGAAAGCAGCTGACTCGGATCAGTTCCATGTCAGCAAGCATAATGCAGTGCCATCTTTCTGGGGTTATTGGTCCTGGTTGAAATATTAAGAGGGATCCCAAAACAATGCAGCACGCAGCTTAGTAGACTGACTTGCTGAGGCTGCAATTTACCATACATGCACGTTTACCTGGGAGTAAATCTCAAAAGGATGTACTCCACCTTCCAAGAAAACACATACAGGACTATACGAGAAGAAAAGTCTTGTTAGGCAACTCCGACCGCTAAAAAGGATGCTGAAAGTTATTTGGTATGTGTGGCTATTAGGGAAGGACCGGGCAGCATGCAAAAAAAATTTAAAAAAATCTGCTGGTTACCCTATTGGATTTTACGCTCCTTGCTTCTTTACCCAAAGGGGTGAGACTTTGCCCACCGATCTTGCCCGCTTCTGCTACGCGGCCAGTAGGAGGGCAACATGCAAATTACACTACGGCACTTTGAGGGTCGATTGGCCAAGAAAGCTCTGATGTCATAAACCCCTTACAATAATTAACAGTAGAATGGGTGGGCGGGATGGGGGTGCGGAGGGGGGAGGTTGCATGTACTGGATCAACAGCAACGGGAGTGGAAGGAGGCGAAGAAGAGAAGAGGAGGGGAGGGGGGTTTCTCCCTGCGTAGCTTTGCCAGCTCTTAATGGAAAGAGCGTGTCCAGCTGGCAGGAGTGCACTGGGAGAGCGAGGGGGAAACGGATCGGGGCGGCGGGGGGCTTCCTCCTTCCTCCTCCTCGCCCCATTCCCACTCCCTCCCCACCGCCTCTTCTTCTCCATCCTTCCACCACCGCTGTGGCTCTCCCGTGTCTCCGCTCCTCGGCCTCCCCCTGCGGTGAGCCTTCTGGTGACCCCTCCCTGCCGGCTTGGCCGGGGGCCGGAGTGGAGCTGGCCCTGGTTCAGCGGAGGAAGCCGGCAGCCCATTAAAGCAGGTGTCACATGTTCCTTCACCTGGGTCACTTGGCATGTGCAGGCGCCACGATTTCCCTTTAAGAGCCCAGCCTGGAGAGGCGAGGGGGACCCTGGGGGCAGGATCCAAGGAGCAGTGAGCCATGGTTCCCACTGCAGTCCTGGACCGCTCCTTCTCCCCCACACCAGTCTCTCTCTCTCTCTCTCTCTCTCTCTCTCTCACACACACACACACACACACACACATACACACACACACAAACACACACGTAGGGGCCCATGCAGCCCTAGTATGTGAGATCTATTACAATCCCACCCACCTCTTTTCCTCCGCCACAAAAACTGCAATATATACTGTGAGATACACACAGACACACACACACACAGAGAGAGAGAGAGAGAGAGAGAGAGAGAGAGAGAGAACTACTGTTCCCCATGCTATACACCTCCTGACCAGCAGTTCAAACCAACAGAACTGAAAGGGGTTGATGATGCCAAGCCATCAACAAAAACACGATCATTGAAATAAGCAAATGATGGCCAAGATGGGCCTGCTTTGTATGGCTCCCTTCACGCAAGCATTGTTTTAAGTCATGGTAGGTTGCAAAGGGGGTGTGCAAACCTTTTAGGAGGCCCCCCAGCTGCCAGAACTTACAATATAGCACAAGAAGTTGGAACCAATATTGGAGCTGTGAGCAATGACCATATTTCGTTGGTGTCTCCCCCTTAACATTTGGGAAGCAGCAGAGTGCCTGACCTCACCTCAACGACACTGGCAAAACAAAGGCTGCAATCCTAAGTAGGCTAGCTAGGGAGCAAATCTGCATTGCAGCTGACGAGTAGAAACAACAACAACAGTAATAATAATAATAATAATAATAATAATAATAATAATATTTATACCCCACTCTGGGCAGCTTACAGCATATATAAAACATAGTAAAATATCAAACATAAAAACTTCCTGATACGGGGCTGCCTTCAGATATCTTCTAAAAGTTATGTAGTTCTTTATGTCCTTGACATCTGAAGGGAGGGCGTTCCACAGGGAGGGTTCCACTACCATATAGAAGCCGCGGCCATAAACTAGAAGTGGGAAATGTGAATCATAAAACAGTCCAGACCTTTGCTGAACAACGGTGCTCCGGCACTGTAAAGAGGTTGTATCAAAGCTGACTAGAACATACGTTCAATTAAAAACACCCTCTCTTCTATTAGCAGTATTCAAAAGTGACGCATCCCAGACAGGAAGGCTTTTATGGCATTACATGCGAAAGTACACTAAAACGGGAGATGATTTCAATCTCTAGTGCCCCAAGGTGGTGCGTGCAAACATACAGAGCAATACTTTCTCCAGATCCACATCTTAAGTTGTGGCTGCAAAGGACAGCAGTGAAAGGAGTACTTTAGGGGAGAAGTTGAGGGCCTCATTCAGCAGAAGGGCTCCCAAACACGGCAGGGATGTCTTACCAGATGTTGAATACAGGTAAGGAATACAGGTTTTGAAGCAAGTGGAAAAAATACACATCATCAAAGGAATCCCAAACCCTTTAAAGCCAGCAACAACTGCACTAATGGAGACCAGCATAGTGCCTGAAAAGTCCTTGGCTGCTTTCTGAACTCAAGCATATCTTTTTCGCCTGTGCTAGACTTAAAAGAAACTAACAATGTTAGTTCTGTGATACCACACAGGACAAAAAATGCCCTGCTACCCACCACACTTGTGCCTCAGAAATGTTTCCCCTCCAAACATTTCAGGGCCTCTCCTAAATTTTCATACCCAAATAATTTTTTGGCAGGGGCCCTTTCATAGCGCTACAGGCCCTCCAGACAGCAATAATGTGTTAGCAGTGGGGAAGCATCCCAGAAAGAATGAAGCAAAATAAATCCACCACAAAATGCACTGTTGCTCTGTCAAGAACATGTTGCAGAATATACCCATAACTGAACACCAGCTTGGAGGAACCTTTTGAAATATTATGCCTGGAGGACAAATCTACCTGCTCATATCTTTTGCCCCATGACAAACTGCTGTAGAAGAAGAATTTGGAACATCTAATATCTGCAGCAGTAAGAGGTATAAAGCAGTAAGGAACAAAAGGGATATCTGCAGACCAATACCTGCAATCAGCACAGCATTTTAGGAGTTGTCTTTCCTGAAGTAACTGAGTTTCTTGAATGGATAAAGTCATAGAGAGATGTCATGTTATTTGAGGATAGGCTGCCATATATATGACACACAAAGGAACAAAATTCACTAGAAATGTAGACTTAACAACTGTGCTTTTCCAATCAGATCATTTATATTATGCCCCCTAAACAATACACACCACTGGCTTCTGGTCAGTTTCCAGGCTCAATTCAAAGTGGGTTTTTTTAACCTTTAAAGCTCTTCATAGTATCTATATGCTAAGATCTTCAACAGAGGTCCTTCTCTGGGTTCCCCCACTGTTAAGGAAAAAATCCTGGGGTACAGGACTTACTCCACAACCCAGCTCGTTGGGGTGCCACTCCCCACGGGTCCCTCTGGTCAGCAAAAAAGGAGTCTCCAGCCAAGTTACAGAAGCAAATCAGTGGTCAGTGGACCTGATCTTTATTTGTTGCAACCAAGGCTCAAACGCAAAAAGAGAAAGAACCCAGAGCATGGGGCTGCGCAGACTTCTGAAACTTTCCCAGCTTTTCCATAATACGTCACACACATGATCATCAAAATGTCATGAAAGAGGAGTGGTTGGCATGCAGAAACATGAAACTGTCACCCACCCCTGCCAATCATTCCAGTTCCCAACAACTTTTAACTACCCTCTTCCGCAAAGAACAATAAAAGTATTTACACATCCCCCTAGCTGCAAAGGTTTCCTGCACTTCTCCTTTGAAAGTATCAGGATTCTGTCCACCATCCCAATGGGATTCTGCCCTTGATTGCCTCTTGCCTCCTATTGTAAAGCTAAGTTTAACACCTTACGGAGAGGCAAGGAATAAGTGACCATATGTTTAAGGAATTATGGAGGCAGGGTGAGTCCTGGATTCCCCTCTTCCAGAGGAGTCATTGGCCACTGGAACCAAGGAAATCGGTCAAACCGTTGAATTTTGGTGATTATTTGAAGTTCCTACAATTTTCTATATTGGATAGTCAGAGGAAACAGTACAATATATTGTACAATTTATTGCTACAATTTTATAGACTGCTTTTCTGAGCCGCTTTGCTGTTGCGCATGGATGGTGCTTATGTAAACAGTGAAGGAGATTAGTCTGGCTCATTGTCCTGGCCTTAGTTCGAGGCTGTGGTGGGGACTTGGGATTTGGGGGGAGTCGTTTAACTGCCCCCTATCCCTGGTTTTAATACCCACTATCTGAGGGAGGGTGCTATGAAGGGAAGGGCCTTCTTAGTGGTGGCACCATGACTGGAATGCTCTCCCCAAGTATCCTTGCATGAAGTCATTTTGGCAACTTTTGATTTTTTTCTCAGGTTTTAATATAGTTTGATGTGCTTCATATTGGCTGGGTTTTCTATTTTTATACTGCTCCTAGCAATTTCCGTTTGTTTAATGTTTTGATTTGTATGTTTTTAATTTATTTAACTGGGCTTTGAAATTTGTAAAGTTGCTATGGAAATGTTAATGAAGAGTGGGGTAATAATCCCCAAAAGAGATGTAATTAAATAAACACAGTGCAGTAAGCTAACCACTGGGTAGGTGAAAAATTATGGTCCCTTAATATGAGTTCATGTAAGACTGTGTGCAAAGTTGTTCAGCATGAGGGCAAACGCACTGGTTGAGGGCTGTGGAAGAGGGAGCAGAAAAGATCCTCACATGATTAACTATCAAACCAAGATGTGGTATGAAGGGCAGCAAATGGTGGCGGTGGTGGGGGAAGTGTGAATATAAAGGAAAGAAGTTTATAAGAAAGAAAAGGGGGGGCAGGGTAATAAATGTGTACAAGCCTTTGTGACTTTCCAGGAAAGACTGAAGGGTAGGCAGATCTTAGGCAGAGAGTGTGAGGCTGAAGCAGTCTCATTCTATGCATGTCTATTAAGATGCAAGTGCCATTGATGGGGCTTACTTCCAGATAAGTGTGTGCATAGGATTATAGCCCAATCACAAATATACACCTTTTTGTGTTTCTTATTACCTGGGTGCAGTGTGGTCCCCTGTGTTAAAGCAGAGCAAGTAGAAAAATCAGATGAGGATGAAGAAGTATGAGACAGGGTGTTACTATGTTTGTTTGTTTGTGTATGTATGTGAGAAAGAGAGAATGTGCCAAGGGGCCATGCCCACTGACAAGCGGTCCTTGAGTGTCTAGTCACCACCACATGTGACTCTCAGCTTGCCCACTCCTGCTGTAAAGAAAGACCACGGGGCCATGGTGCCAGGTAGGAAGATCCAGAAGGTAGATAGGCCTGAAAGGTTTCTGTTTCTTATGAAACATAGCAGCACAGGGGAACTCAGATGGAAGAAGTGATGGCAAGAGAGAGAAAGAGATGGAGGAGCAGAAGAGGAGTGAATTCAGTGCTCATGTCAGTAGGTGGAGATATGTGAGCCATGATGTATTCTAGGAGAGCAAAAAATCAAGGTCATACATGTGGACTATAATACTTCACTGCCTTCAAAGCTTTAGGAGACTGACATTCTGCCTTGTTTAGTGTTCTAGAAGGACATGTGTCAAACAGTAACTTTTGTACAACTTCTGTTATATGATCTTGCTTTCCATGTAAACCCCACTCCTCCTTAGCAACAGGTCTTCGCCAATGCATTCAAACTGAGTGAAAAATAATGGTGGTAAATCATTCAGTGCAAAAGCACAATAAAAATTATGTATAATAATGACAGCAAAAGCTGGGGAGGTCTTATCATACAGCCATTAACTCTGGATCCCCAAAAGAATAAGCAACCCAGTCACCACAAGAGAGACCAGATCACTGTTCCTGATGTGTTTTGATAAGACGGGGGGGAATCTGCAGGTCTCCCCTGCATGACAGAATCCCTGAAGTGTATTGGGGATGGCTTTGTTTGGAACTCAGCAAAGTAAAAGAACTGGCCATTTAGCTCTGCTCTGTGTTCAGAACCTCTGGGAGACAAATTCACTGTCTTGTCGGTTCCTGGCATCCCGTTATTTGGGCAGCTGAGCCTCCCTCAGTTGTGTCTGCCAGGCCTGTACTGTACTGGGCTTCGTTCCCCAGCACAGCAGGCACTGTGACCTGACCCCGCTGGGCGACTCCAAGCTCAGTCCACAACAGCTTTCCCTTACTCTGTAGCAAGTTGGGAAACAATCCTTTATATGGTCTGCAAGCTGCTGGCTCACTGGACACCACAAGGATATTTGGCCGGTTGAAGTCATTGACTATTAATGTTCTAGCGAGGAAAAATGGGCCGTCTCCCTCCTCCAGCACTGCGCACAGCCCTTGCCCACGCACACCCTCTCTCCCCTTGCAGATGAGCATTGACCCCAACTTGCTGACCAACTTCTCTATTCCAGTTCAGGGCTTCCCATAAAAATAGTTCTGACTCCATTCTGTGATTCCACCCTCATCCTGCTAGTCTAATCCTCAGCTCCCTGTAAATAGCTCCCTTTGTGCCCCATGATTCCTGCAAACCTGTCCCTGGGATTACAGATGCAAATAACTCTACTTAAACTCCCCCCCCCCCCAATTCTCAAGCTACAGACCAGCCCTCAACAATGTCCCCAGAATGGGCTCAGCCCACATTCCAGTGTTTTAGCTATAGCAAAATGGCTATCTCTAGAGATGTGCCAATATCTTTCCGACATGGCCTGAAGCCTCCCATTTCTTTCTGATTTTAGTTACTGTAAGCAGGCAGGACACATATGCTTAAAATAATAATATGACCATTTGCAGTCTGGTCTTGGAAATGCCAGTGCTTTATTTCTAAAATGTAAAATGTGGGAGCCCAGGCCTTTTTTAAAGTCCTGTTTTCTTCTTGAAACCCTTCCTCATAAAACCAGGATATGTGGTGTGTTAACTTACATGTTGCATTTTAGTTACTGTTGAGTGAAGGAAATGCACTCTGCATATGCTCAAATCCCTTTTCTCTACTATGCTGTACCACCACGAACAGGCTGCAGGGCTAACTCTTATGTTATAAAAAAGATCACATGAACCTCCAATAGCCCCTGTCTGACTGCTGATACTGCCTGCTGGTTTTGATAGCATCTAAAATGAGATTACTAATGTGTATCCATTCTTTAAAATTAGTATTTGGGAGAGAAAGCTGGCGAGAGAGATTGTGAAGAATGTGCCAGTGATTTGTGGTATCTAAATGTAAACATCTGCTTTGTAAGTTGCAGGAAATTGCATATTTTGTAGTTACAAAGTAGGTAAGGTGATACCTTCTGCTGCCAGTGTAGGAGTTTGCAAGCTTTTGAGTTACACAGAACTTGCCATTAGGCAGAACGGAAAGGTACCGTCTATGCCAAAATATTCTACAGCCAGCATTTCAAAAAACCTTCAAGAGGGGGGCATGCCTCATTCACTCAATAGCTTTGATTGCTTACTACCACACCATGAGTCACTGGCTCACATAACAAGGGTGTACTTATGTTCATTCTTCCATTGTTAGGAGGGTACACTTATGTCTTATCCCATAACCTGAAAAGGAACAGAAAGAAGTGTGTACCCCACTTTCCTCTCACCAGCTCCTGAGCAAATGGATCCTGGGATTTATTGTCTGTGCGCGGTGCAGGATGAGGGGGAAGGGAGGGAAGAGGAGAGGGGGAAGGGGTAAAGGAAGCTATGCCTGGCAAGGCCCTGGGATAGATTGACCCTGACAGATGTTTACAGTGGTGCTGAGGAAGGGGGGTTATTATAGAGCCGCAGACTAAACAGACCTTGATGCAGGGAGGGGCAGATAGCACTGCCCCCAGCCCCACCAAATCTCCAATCTAAAGTGAGGGGGGCAGGTTCTAGGATGGGGTCCCACGGAGGAAGCAGCATAGGAGATGGGGAGCTTGTGGCAAAATTATCCTATCCTCTGCCACTGAATTTTGCCCAGACGGTTTCCAAAGTCAGGCAGCTACTGAAGAACTAAACAGTGAGGTTTAAATGTGGTGAGATTAGAGGGAGAGATGTCCAAAGGAATATATATACGCAGGAGGCTGCAGTGAGCGACTCAGGGGAAGAGGCTGATCGTTGGAGGGAATTCCTTGTGAGGGAAGAGAGGGAGCCAGGCCAGAACAATACAGTGACCTTTCTGGCCTCGCAAGAAACCACGGAGGTTCCTGACGTCAGAGGCCCATTACGAAAGTGCCTGTTCCCAACACAGGGAAAGGTCATGACTGGTTCCAACACATTTTCATCCAACTGGCATCTTTCTCGGCATGTAGTGATGTGCATGCGTGTGTATGTAATGGGAGAAAATGGGGGCGGTGGAGGAAATCCCGTCACTTCCCAGAACTGGGAGATCCTGCCATGGTTCTGCCAACAATTGTCCATCAATCTGATTTGATAATCCAGAGCTGGTGAGAGAATTCCAGCGTTCAGTTCCAAAGGCAGGCTTTAAGCTCAGCCTGCAGGCCTCAGGCTTCCTTTGCATGTGCACACACATACACGCTCAAATTTCACGTATAATTGCACAGGAAACCTATTCACATCAATTTTTGCAGTCAAACATGCATTTAGAGATTTGTGAGGAAACCCTACACCCATTTTATTTCTATATATCTTTAAATGTACATACGCACACACAGCCATTTTGGCTCTCTGAGGGCCCTCAATAGTGTACTTCACAGCATTCTCTCATCTGAAGTGGTTCCCAAAGTCAGAGCTGGCCCAATATATTTTTCTGCCTGAAGCAGAAGACAAGCTGGACACCCACACAGACACCCACAAATTCCACATACTGGACTGGCAGGTGAAACTTACTGTAATACAGAGCTGGCCCAAGACATTTCGCTGCCTGAGGCAGAATGGAAAACAGCATCCACTCCTCTCGCCAAGTCCTGGTCACATTAATGATAGGCTGGCCAAGTTATTTTGGCACCTGAGGTGGAGAATCCCACAAGTACCTTTTCCTGAGAGTAAAAATTAAGAGCAGCATTCAACTAGATCCGTGTGTGGAAGGAACAACTTCCACTTGTGAAATAGGACTCCCCCCACCACCACCATTCACATCCCCAAATCTGCTCCTTAGGGTTGGAAGAAGCCCCAGAATGAATTTAGAGGGCTTGTTGGTCAAGCGGATTTCCACTTGCACAAAAATTTACGGTACATAGCACTACGGTTGAATAAAACCCAACGTTTTCAGCCCTTTTGTGACATTCAAACCCAGCTGCCTGAGGCAGCCACCTCACTCAGCCTGACAACTTGAAAGCATCCTCCACCATGCCTGAGGGCAGCAGGCAGTTTTGTGGAGGCACAGGGCAGGCCCTGTGGCACACATTGCCTTTTCCTCTGACTAAGGGGAACACTCAAGGGGCTTAGGGAAAACAGCCAAGCAGGGCTAACACTGCTGACCAGCACCTGCTACCTGAGGTGGTTGCCTCACTCTGCCTTTTGCAATTTCTGAAGGCCAAATAATGGCTGAGGGCAGCTACTCAAGCCCTGCTCGTGGGCCTCACAAAGCATCTGTCCAGCTGCTGCTAGGAATTGAATGCTGGGCTACATCAATCTTTCACACGTTCCAGAGCTCTTCTTATGTTCCTAAACCCTCTTGGGCTCTTGTCTAGTAATCTGGAATACTGCCCCCACTTTCACTTTAATGGAAATGTAGGCAAATTGGACAAAGCACATTTTATTGAGAAAGGTGGAAGGATCTGGTTATGTTCAGCCTAGAGAAAAGAAGGCTGAGGGGGTAAATGAAGCACTCTTCAAATACCTGAAAGAATGTCACCAGAAGGCCTTACTTCTGTCTGCTCCAGAAGGAAGGACTAGATCTAATAGGCTTAAGTTAAGAGACACCTCTTGATGGTGACACAGTTTAACAATGGCAGTGATTATATAGGAGTGGGAAAAGACTCTTCCTCATTGGAGGTTGTCAAGCAAGAGGCTGGAAGGCATCTCGATCTCTGGCTTCCCTGAGAATTTTGCTGCCTGAGGTGAAGGACAAGATAACGTTTGATTTTGTGTATAGAAGCTGACTGGACTGGTAGTTTAACCTAACTTCAGTACCGGTGAGTGATGATGGGATAGTGTCCTCTACTACATCTGAGGCAGCAGGCTAATTTAGCAAGGGAGGGCAAAATTGGGTAGCATACACAGCTCTGTCTTCCAACAGAGGGAAATAGCCTGGGGGCTTCAGAGGATGAACTGCTGCTTTAGGTCCTAATGGTAGGACTGGCCCTGGCTGAACATGACTGGCTACAAGGCCCTCTCCAAAGCTATGACTGGCAGAGTTAATGCGTGGTGGTTCCTGCCTCAACTGACCAGAGAGAAGAAGAAATATGAGAAAGCAACTTCCACATATCAGAAACTGTACATACATTAATTCCCATCAAAAAGTAATTAGGAAAATATGCTCTTAAAAAAACAACACCACAGACTGGACAGTAATATGTCACTAAGTAATATGGGCACAAAGGAACACTGAACAAAAGGGCCTTTGACATAAGGAATGTGTGGCGGGAAGATCCCTGGTTCTTATTTTCTGGCCCTGTCTTTTCCATATACTTTGGCAATACATGCCATGTCTATAAAAGCAACCCTGCCTTTTGAGTGCCCTGTTCCAGAATGTCAGTTTTTTTAAGCACAAAACTCAATGAGAAAATAAGCAAACAGTCCAACAATCCAAACAGGGTGAAAATGCCTGAACAGAAAAATTCAACAAGTTGTTCAAGATAACATATCAACCTTTGTGAACCTTACAGACCACCACTGTGGAAGTTGACTGAGAGGTAAGTCCCACAGAGTTCAATGCAAATCCCCATAAGATTGCAGCCTTAAATGTGATGCCCACTTAAGGGTTTATGGGTCTCCTATGATTCCCTATCACAGCAAAAAAATAAGGCAACGGTACTTGACAGCAAGCATGACTGGATTTTGAGTGTTCTTTGCTTTTTGGTGCATGAGTTATCCTAACCATATGTGGTTGTGCTTATCCATGATTTTTTGCCACTGAATAAGCACTCATTACAAGGCACTAAGGATGCAGCCTAGGTATAAGCTCATTGGGTGGACCAACTTCTCCTATCCAAGTACTAACCAGGCCTGACCCTGCTTTGCTTCAGGGAAGACTTAATTCTGAGCAAGCAAGCACTGGACTGTTCTGCACCCCTGAGTCTCCCTCACCCTATTTATGTGCACGTTTGAATGTTGTAAATGCAGTCTAGAAGGCAGATGAGAACAATCTTTAAATAAAGATGCATTTTCTAGTAGCCATTCACATTACTGATGCAGCAAACACAAGAGTCTTTTATGCCGCAGTCCTCTGCATGTTTACTCAGAAGTAAGCCCCTTTGTGTTCCATGAGGCATACTCCCTCGTGTGTTTAGGATTGCAGCCTCATAAGGCAATCCTATACACAGAAACAAGTTCTATCAAGTTCCAGTGGGTCTTTCTCCCAGGACTGGAGAATACAGGACTGTACCTTTGCATAGCAATCCTATACACGTTTACCCAGAAGAAGCAAGTCCTGCTATGGGCCTTACTCCTGGCTATGAGTGCAAAGGGTTGCAGTGCTCTGTATGACAGGATCCTTTAAACGCAAAGGAGTTCAAAACTCCTGTGTTGCCTGGATGAATAAACCAGAGAAAGAAAACAACTCTTCACCTAGGAATCCAAGAGGTTTGCTACTATATTTCAATTTTTTTTCTTCCTTCTATTTTCCAAAAGCCTGATTTCCAGAAGATAGCAATGTAGAGTATCTCCTCACCAGTCAAGTGAGGAAGGGGGGACACAGTAGATCAACCTTAGGGAATAGGGATCGACTTTATGGGGTGTGGATTGAAAACAGCCCTAAGAGCATTTACCTGATTTGTACACCTCTCGGCCAGAGAGTGAGGCATCATTGAGATGAACTGAAAACGGACGGTGGTGAACCCGATTGGGGTGGGGGGTGTTGCTCGCTTGTGACTCACTCCCTTTTCTGTTTGGGTTGGCTGAGCCCCGCGGTGCCGGGAGCCCCGACGTAGGTTGTTTTTTTTTTTAACAGCTCAGCCCCACATGTTATGGTGTGAGAGCCTGGGCGGGGCGGGGGCGAGAGGAGAAGGAGGAGGGTCGAGTTTCCAGAGTTGCAGGCGATGTTGGTTCCAAAACAAACAACAAAGCTGTCCGTAGACTTTTACGTGGCGTGGTGGGGGGAGGCTGAAGGGGTCGAGGGGTGTGGACGACGGCAAGCTGGGCACAGATTAGGGTGGCCCTGAGGCGAGAATGGGAAGAAGCGATCGAAACATGGCGGAAAGGGGCCGCAGCGCATTTTTGCAACTTTTTAGAATGCGATCCGAAGAAAAGAGCTTCTTCACCGGGGAAGGGGGTGCATTTACTTTTTCTCCCTTACGTACAAAAGAGAAGTTGGATCAGGCTAGATAAGGACGTGATTGCGGCCTGCAGAAAAGGTGGTAGATACGGGAGAGGGAGGAAGGGAACTGATTTGTGGGGCGCTGAATTTCCGCGGCCATTGCAGTCAACGAGCTGTATTCATTTATTTTAAGATTTGTATCCCGCTTTGTTACCGGAACTTCGAAAGCGGCCGCCAGTATAAAAAGCCCTCTAAAAACCAGACCAGAAGAGTTAGTCGGGTTGTTTAATGGCGGCTGGAGTTACGGGGAATGCGTATGGTGAGCCCAGAAAGCTCACCGTGGAAGATTCTCGCAGCATTTCTCCAGACGTTTTATTTTATGGATTCTAAGCGAATAGGTACATGGAAAAGATAATAGACTAGTCCCAGCAGATTTATCTTGGGAGGAAGGTCCCGTCTATGATTAACGTGATAAGGAAGTTTTATTTTTGCCTTCGCAAATATTTTTTGATACTCGAGGCTGAAAGTCAGAGCAGCAGGCCAAGGAAATACGCGCCCTGTCTTTAGGAGTCAGTACAAGAGAGCACTCTGCCCACCTCACCCTCGAAAAAAATTAAAGGAGCAACTGATTGCCGTTATGTTTAGCGGGGAGGGCTTAATCTAAATCTAAATCTCCAGAGTGAAAGAGACTACTGGGAGAGGAAAGGGTGTAAAGAGAGCAATTGTTTTTCACCTTGCAGGTATGCATAATACTTTGAAAGGAAGCCTTTGATGCAGTGAACTGGGGTAGACACCAGTCCTCTCCTGGTTCACACACAAAGGGAAGGACTAAGACAGGCATGTCCAAAGTCCATTTTGGGGACCTAATCCGGCCTGCAGGTCAATTTTATCCGCCCCCCGTGGCAGTATATGTCCTGGGGTAAAACCCTAAAAAAAGTTCAACAACTTTGGTCAGCCCTTGCACATGTTCACTTCATCAAATCTGGCCCTCTTTGAAAAAAGTTTGGGCACCCCTAGACTAAGAGGAATTAGCAAATGGAAGGTGAGGTAGGGAAGAGGCAGAAACCAATTTAATGTAATATGGAGGGGGAAATGAGTTCATTAATGGGCCAGAGGCACATTGGAGTTGACCCAGGATTGCAAGTGGAGCAGAAGCATGTTGGAGAGTGGATTTGTACTACTTAGGGTGAAGGTAAAGGGACCCCTGACCATTAGGTCCAGTCTCGGACGACTCTGGGGTTGCGGTGCTCATCTCGCTTTATTGGTCGAAGGAGCTGGCGTACAGCTAACGGGGTCATGTGGCAGAATGACTAAGCCTCTTCTGGCAAACCAGAGCAGTGCACGGAAACGCCGTTTACCTTCCCACCGGAGCGGTACCTATTTATCTACTTGCACTTTGACATGCTTTCGAACTGCTAGATTGGCAGGAGCAGGGACCAAGCAACGGGAGCTCACCCTGTCGTGGGGTTTTGAACAGCCGACCTTCTGATTGGCAAGCCCTAGGCTCTGTGGTTTAACCCACAGTGCTACCCGCGTCCCATCACTACTTAGGGTACGTAAGATTATATATGTATCCTTAGCACCTTTAACCTTGCTTCTGTGCAAAATCAGAGTGGTTATGAAATGTTGAAAGCATTCTGTATATTCAGAAAGGTTGAAGGAAGAGTCTTACATATGTGTTCAGAACTAGGCTGCAGTAGAAACTCTGGATAACTTAATACCGTATGACATTTAAAGTGCTACCCTGAAACTGAGAGGGCACCCCCTTTGCCATAAGCTATCTCAATGACTTAGCTAAGTACCATGGTACCCAAGGGAGCGGGTGACGCTGTGGTCTAAACCACTATCAGCAGTTTGAATCTGTGAGGCAGGATAAGCTCTAGTTACTGTGTCCCAGCTTCTGCCAGCCTAGCAGTTTGAAAGCACACCAGTGCAAATAGATAAATATGTACCACTGTGGCAGGAAGGTAAACAGCGTTTCCAGGTGTTCTGTTGCACCAGGAGTGGTTTAGTCACACTGGCCACATGACCTGGAAAGCTGTCTGTGGGCAAACGCCAGCTCCCTCGGTCTGAAGCAAGATGAGTGCCGCACCGCATAGTCACCTTTGACAGGACTTAACTGTCCAGGGGTCCTTTACCTTTCTTTCTTTTTTACTAACATATAAAAGTTTCACATAAGAAAACCCGATGTCTGACACCTATCATTTTCTCTGCTTGATTTAAAGTTTGTTTTTAATATGCTGCAGTTGCAGGAAGCCTCAAAAGTGTGTGTGCATGCACAGGGGTGTCTGTAGGAAGCTTAAGTCTGCAGACATGTGAACTTCCCATTCTGCTCAGACAAACAGTGAACTGCCCCATTGCACACATCTAAAATTTAGATGCCCACATTATCAACTTTCTTCTTCATTGTCCTATGAAAAGGTCCAAGAAAGTAGAACAGATATTAGTATGTTTGAGCATTGTTACAATGTGGTACAATGTTGAAAATTTCAGCTAGTAATCCAAGGTCTTATAACTCTGCTGGTTCTACTGAGTAGAATATCAACCTTTATGAATTATATAGTGTCTCCTATAGTGGGCTATGAATGACTTGACACCTGACGCTGGTGTATGGAGCATGGCAAAGAACCAGCACCACTTTTAGAGAGCCAGATGCCTCTATCACCATTTCTACTTTTAGTCTGGAAACAACCTATGAGTTGGGCTGTTCATTAATTCCATTTTACAGAACAGAGGCTGAGCAAAATAAAATACATTGTTTAGGTTTTCTGATGAATCTTCAGCTGACGGGATTGGAACAAAGTTCCCCCATGCCTTCAGTAAGTAGGGGCTGGGTGGGCTGGAGTGATGTTGGTTGTGTACCCTGCTTGTCCTTACATCTGTGTATTCCCTTAGGCATACTCCGGGCTGAGCAAATGGAGGAGTCTGCTGATGACACTGGGGAGCCCCAAACAGCCGGCAGACTTGTTTGCATCAATAATGACAGAGTCAAGGCCGTGCAAGAAAGCGGACAATGAAATTAACCAGACAGTGGCTGTGCTTTGTAAGGATTTTTCCATTCTGAGGTAAGCTGCATCACTCCGGGAGAGAGAAGTGTAGGGTGAAGTAGGAAGTGACAGGGAACAGAAAAAGTGTGAAAATGAATGAGGCACAGAAGGAGATTCCTAGATGGATGGGAGACTCTGCAGGTTATATAGCCCACGAAGGAACTTGCAGCTGTTTACAAATGGGCACACAACAGAGCATGTGCTAGAATACTGTACATAAGAAACTTTACTGGGTCCTCCAACACATTTTTAACCATTTATTGTCAAACTTAGAGCCTGATCTTAATCACATTTACTTGGAACCAAACCCTACTGATTTCACTGAGACTTGTTTCCTGTCAAGTATACTTAGAAGTTCAACAACAGTTTGTGAACAGCTCCTAAAGTTAAATACCTGTAGCAAAAGAACAGGCAGAGGATAGTCAGTGACCACCCACACTTATAGGCAGCAGCAAACAAGGGCAGAATGGGGAATTGAGGCAAAGGATGTGAGAACAGATGAGGTCAAGTGAGAAGGGAAGACAGCTGAATGGACAGCTGAGTTGGAAGCTTAGGGGTTGAAGTATAAAACACAAGGGGTGCAATACAGGGGTTAGATGCACACATTCCATGCAAATCACTTAGCTGTGTGCTTAGTTCCTACAGATTTGCCTACAAAGCACCATGCAGAAGCCATTAGCAGAAACTTTGACAAGCTGTTTAGTGAACCTGGATGCACTAAGGCTATAAAAGTTAGAAGGCCAGATTGGGGGAGTCACTGAGGTCCGTAAGACATCTATGCAGCTTGCCAGAATACCCCATAGTCTTGGAATAGGTCTTGGAAACCTGTACCTGTAGTTGAGTCAGTGGAAGAGATTAGGGATGCTGTTGTTCAAGTGCCCACCCTGTTGCCCAGTGGCTGTCTAAGGTAGTCTCAAGTCCAGTGTTGGGGGACCCCAGGACAGTGGTTCTGCATGACCTCAACATTCATGCCAAGGTTGCTTTGTCTGGTCCAGTTTGGGCCTTCATGGGCCTGTCCCAAATTGTCAATGGACCAATACACAGGGTAGGACACACATTAGCTTTAGGCGTCACTTCAGGGTGAGTGGCTGGTGGTTTGCATATTGATCCCTTTGTTGTGGGGAGGGGCCAATTTGGACGGCATGCGCTTTGAGACCTATGAAATCTGATTGATTCCTGAGTGCTCTGGAGGATTTTCCAGTAGCCAATTTTGGTAATTTTGTTGAGCCTGTTTCCTAATTGTAGAACATTAGGGTGAGGAGGCCTGTTGACACAGTCGCTTCAGTGTGTCTGGTCTGACACTGCAGAGCTCATTCTGCTCCTCAGTTCTCTTCATAGCTACGAGCAACAAAAGAGGCCAGATAACAGCTGTAGCAGGCTGAACAGTGGTTAGAATGCATATCTGCAACTATCACATAGCGATGGCAGTGAAAAAGGTCCACCATTCCATTTCCATCAAGCAGAGCTCTTTCTAGTTAAAATGTTGTTACAACCTGCCTCAGTCAGTCGGACACTGTAACCACCACAAGCCTGCTGTTTAGACACACCTGTTTAGGCAAGCATTCCCCAGAAGTGATCTTGTGATTTTTTTGTTTCAATAGGGGCTTTTGTTTTGCTTTTTCAAGTGCTACAATGGAATACTTATTGTGTATTTTAATTATGTATTGATTATGTATTGATTTTATATTTGATATCTAAGTGGTACATAAATTAGATGACAATGAGGATGATAATAATATTGCCACATCAAGCCTCCTGTGTGTGAGAGAATCAGAAGTGGCATCAGATCAAATGGTAAAATGAGATGCTTTTTGGGATAGGAGCCTGGCCTCTATCATAAAAACCAAACAAGCTGAGTGTTTGCCTAGGCCCAAAAGTTGTGAGCAGGGCCACCAAGTGTGCATAGTGCCCCTGGAGGACAGTTGAGGAGAGCATGTCTAGACTGCACAATGCAAAAATAATTTCAGATTTGGGTGCAAGCCAAGGAGTTTGGCAGTTCCAACTCAACACAGAAAGTGCCAAACTCTGCACCTTTAACTTCCCTCTTTTTAGATCTGTGCTTAAAGGATTTCGGTGTGGGATAGTAAATGCCTGAGATTACAAGAACATCACTGCATGGACCACTCAGAACTCATGAGGTGGCTACGTGTGCTTACTCAAGTCTATTGCATGCTTACTCCTCCTTAGCAAGTCCACCTTAGTTCAGTGGAACTTGCACCACAAACTTTATACATGTTTACTTGGGGTGAATGTGCATAGGATTGCAGCCCTACTCTTAATAGATGAATTTAGGATTGCAATCTTAGCATAACAAAGAGGCTTCCTGCAGGATGATGTGTAATAAGATTTCCACTGAGGGAAAAGCAACTGTATCAGTGGAAAGACCTCAGGCGTGCAGAGAACAAGGGGAGTGTGGAAATGCTTTATTTCAGTTGCTGCATATGGTGAGGTGTTAGTTGGCATCAGGTTTTATAGCGAGACATTCTTAGGAGGGAAGTATTGATTGGGAAAACTGGCTGATAGCAAAAGAATAGTCCATTTCAGGGATAGGATTGGTAAGAGGAAAGCTTTTGAGAATAGACAGATGTTTCTCTGAAACAATCCTGAAATTGCAGCCTAGGGTGTATATTGAAGTGACTCCTATGCATGCATTAACTAGGAAGTAAGCACCATTGGGGGACGCGGGGGACGCTGTGGGTTAAACCACAGAACCTAGGACTTGCCGATTAAAAGGTTGGTGGTTCGAATCCCTGCGATGGGGTGAGCTCCCGTTGCTGGGTCCCTGCTCCTGCCAACCTAGCAGTTCGAAAGCAAGTCAAAGTGCAAGTAGATAAATAGGTATTGCTCCGGCAGGAAGGTAAATGGCGTTTCCATGCACTGCTCTGGTTCGCCAGAAGTGGCTTAGTCATGCTGGCCACATGACTCTCGGCCAGTAAAGCGAGATGAGCGCCGCAACCCCAGAGTCAGCCACGACTGGACCTAATGGTCAGGGGTCCCTTTACCTTTTTTAAGCACCATTGAGCTCAGTTGGATTTATTTCTGGGTAAACATGAAATATTATTGGCTGCGTGATCTCAAAACTGTCCTGAGCCTGTAAGATATATATGGATATGGTTGTTGACAAGAGTTTTTCTGACACAGGCTTTTTAGGTGTTTGACTCTACTGTTGAATATGGGAACATGTGGAGCCAAAGTATATATTGAGCTAAGCTGCATTGAAACCAGTTTGGCCCGGTACAAAACTGTGATGTGAGCTTACAAGAGTATCAAGGCTGAAAGGAAGGCAGTAGGAAAAGCCCAGAGTCAGAGCAGAAAGTCATATTGAGGGCACCTTACTGCATGCATTGGGGTTCTGTACAAAAGCCATCATGTGTTAATACTATGCAGAATGGAGATTACTAACACTATAATTCCTAGTGCCCATCTGGTTATTGAGACAGGTAAGAACATAGTCTGTGGTGTCCTATCCTGACCAGGCATGAATAGCATTTAGCCATGCTCAAGTACCCAGCTGTGAAATTTAGAGCCAATGCAAGAAATAGAAGACAAAACTCCCTGAAATGATTCACATTTAGGGGTGCAGCATATTCTTTGATCACAGAAAACTACAGAGGTGCCTTGTGGATTTTCATGACCATGGAAATGCTCCAAGATTGCTGGTCACCCTAATGCTACAAGTTTAAAGCAGGCTGATCACCTTTCAAGTTTGTGAGCTTTTCTTTTTCTAGCTGGCTTCTCCTGGAAGAATTAAGCTGTTGGCAAGAGCTTATGACAGGTTGTTCCCCCTTGGGATTTCAAAGCATTTGTGGCAGGGAATGGCTTAGTGGTCTGTGAGCGCTTCATTTAAAGAAATCTTAATATGGGAAGCCTTAATTTGAGTCCTTCCTATATTAGACACAGGGATTGGCAGAGAATCTGGTGTTCCTGGGGCTATTAATGGGGAGACACAGTTAAATTTCCAAGAGGGCTCTCAAGAGTCTTGTGGGCAGAATAATGAAGAACTGGTATGTCAGCACTGTGCAATTTAGCCAACGTCAATTATACCAAAGAGCTTTTATGCCAGAGCACAAAAAATGCACTTGGGATACTTGCAGTAAATAGCACTCCACTGAGATTCCTAGAATCTAAATGAGAAATCACTGCACAGGAACTGTCCATACTAAGAAAATAGCAATCACTCTGCAGTATCCATGAGGAGACTGCTATCCACACAGACTAGACCTCGGCACCTTTTTCAAACTGTCCTTGTAAGCAGGGTTCAGATGCTGTAGATCATGGACTGAGAAACATTTGGTCCTCCAGATGGTTTTGAACTCCCAGTGCCCATTAGTCCCATCCAGCATAAGCAGTGGCCAAGGATGATGGGAGTTGTAGTCCCATAACATCTGGAGGGCCACATTTCTTATCCCTGTTGCAGATAAAGATTCCACAAGAAAGCCTTGATTCACTTTTTTGTCTTCCTCCACTCATTATTCATTCATACAGACTGCAGCCAGAGTTTTCCCCAAAACAGCTGATGTAACATCTAAAATCACCTCCTACTGCTCTAAACTCAGAAACACCACTTTGCCCTCATCTCCCTTAAACATCCTTTCAGATCAGTTTCCCTTGAAGGTCTGCCATCTCCTGAATGACTCCATTGCCAGCACACCCATCTGTCAGGTCACACCTTTAGAACTACACTTGGTAGCTTCCTCCCCTTTCATGTCAGGAATGTTAGAGCTCCATCTCAGGCTCCTCTGTGCCCCAGTACTGGACGAACTTGCCACTCACACCAGGTTTTTCTTTTCTGCTGTTGGCTGTATAGCTTTGCAATCATGAGCGACCTGAAATCCAGTGTGGTCAGAATGGAGTTTGATTTTCCCATATATAGTCAGGGTACCATGATGCATTTTGCTCAGCCTCCTTTCAAGACCTCAAGCATCCCTTTGCGATTACGTTCTAGTGACTAAGTCATCCGCAGCTTCTGGGCTAGTATCCAAAGTTCTTGCTTGTGGCCCAGATTATTACAGTATTGCCTTCTCTACCTGTGTGATACTTTCCTCGCTCCATCCATGGCCCCATCCTTGCCTCTGTACTACTGTTTAGCATGCTGATTCAAGACCCAGTCTTCTGACTCCTTTGCCATGCATCTCTCTTGCCTTTGACTACCCTCAACTCCCATCACCCTCAACCATCATAGCCTATAGTTAGGGTTGATGGGAGTTGCAGTCCAATAGCATCTGGGGGACCACAGGTTAGCCATCCCTGGCTTACATGAGCAGTCTATTTATATTCTCATTCTGAGGCTGATTCTATTCCTAATATTTCCCAGTTTCTTCCTAGGCTACAACACAATAGGCCACCTGTCCTGTTGTTTGTTGAAAGTCCTCCTTTTTGTGACTGTGCTTAAATGCTTTGTTTCCTGCATCTATCCCAACAACAAATACCTGAAGTTTGGGAGGTAAATGTCTAAAGAAGGAATAGATTGCTACCTCTTTCGCAAGCCAGGGGAAATTGTCACCACAACTCCTGGTTATTTCATTACTTCTGTGATCTTGGGTGTGTGTGTGTAGGGTGTCTTAACAGCAGGAAAACTTGAACCTGGACTTGGCCTTAGTAGTTCTGAGAATAGAGTTACTAACTGGCAGTGGGTGTCTGTGTTTGGACTGAAATCACCATGACTTGGGGATTGCAGGGGGGTGGGAAGGTTGCAGTTTTTATAAGGTTCTTTTTGAATTTGTACTACCTTCCAGTTTTTTAGTGTGTCTTCAGTTCACATAGTATAACAGAACATCTGGCTGGATCTAATTTAGTGGCTGGACAGGCTTTCTCCCTGTATGTTGGGATGGGGAACCTGTAGCCCAGCAGACACTGCTGAATTGCAGCTCCAGTCACCCCTGACTATTGAACATGCTGGCTGGGGCTGATGGGAGCTGGAGTCCCAACATCATCTGGAGGGCCACAGCTTTCTCCATCCGTACTGTATCTAAATCCCACCAGAGCATTTCTGCCCCTGTTGGCCTGCACAACTGACTGCAACCTGCATGGGATCAGGACCTTCTCACAGAAAGCATGTGGGTGGCCTGGCATGGATCCATGGGGGAGAAAGCATTTGCTCCACTGGATGTCAGACCTGGCCCGTGAAACAGTTTTATCAGGCTCTTGGCAGCCCTGCCAAATGCTAACCATGTGGTATGCATTTTGCCCATGGTTTCATATGCAAGGAGAGGAAATTTGTTTGCAAATGTTGCAAGATATGTGAGTTATTCCATGCTTTAAATGTGATTATTGGGAGGGGGTGTTATAAACAGTGCCCCGTCTGATAGCTATGCAGAGGCTGAATTGTAAAGCCTGGCCACCTGTGAGGAGGTCGGGCTGTGCATCAAACTATACTTCCGGTTTCCGGACTACTGCCTGGAGAATAGAGTGGTCCCTGAGAACACAGAACTTGGCCATCCCTGCACTACAGTACTGAGCCAGGAGTGTGGGAAACGGCTGTCTATATGTGCCCCTAAAACTGAAGCCTGTCTCTCAAAATGTCCTACTCGAGCCTCATTTGTGCCGCTTTCCGTATATAAGCCTTTTACTGTCTTGTCGCAATAGCACACAGAACCTTCAAACCATTCCCTATAACTTTTCCCTTTCCCCTCTTTAATTTCCTGGCTGCAGGCTTAAGATCAGCAAACCTAAACCAGCAGCAAACTTAATGAGGAGCATCTGTACAGAAAGGGCATGCACGTGGAAGTGTGTGTGTGTGTGTGTGTGTGTGCACGCGGGTGCGCTTACACAGATGTGTTCGAACCCACGGGGCTGGACAGCAGGAGGTCTACCTGTCAGAACTCTGAGGCTGCCTTGAACTCATCTTATTGTGGGAAAGAAGCCAGTGCTGATATAAGGCACAGTGCAGGCCCAGACTGAGACAGTGGCAAGACTTCCTCTGTTGCCCATTTACTGGGCAAGTTGTACTGTACAATGTAGTGCTCACAGCCAAGGTTTATGTTATATCTCACTTTTCTTCCATCATGGAACCCAAGGCAGTGGACATGGGATTCCCAGGTGGTCTCTCATCCAGGCACTGACCAGACCCAAACCTGCTTAGCTTCAGCAAGGACGTGGTCCAATGTGCCTTCTGACCACAGCCAGACCTAGTCTCGTTTCTATCTAGTGTGCCATTTTCCCTAGATGAAAGTTGTGTGGGGCAACCCCAGTAGCTTGTGGCAGCACTCAAATGGGTGAAGGTGTGCTTGTACACCAACTCAAGACTGGCTTTCCAGTCCTCAGGTGTGAAACCTATGAAGTAGCTGTCAGGAAGACAGTGGCTTAGATTGCATGCTAGGGTGTATTGTCCTCAAAGGGCTCCAGGCATCCTTCGTTTTAGGTATTAAGCAACGTGGCTGTTAAAAGTATTATGTTTCTGAATAGGACTGTTTACATGCATGAATTTAGTGCCCATCCTGTCTCATACCTTACTATCCTTACACTGACTGTTTACATTCTGCCTGTTTACTAGTTATATATAGCCACACTGTTATACTAAGCAAGCCCTATCTCACACAGATTTCTACCCTTCTCACGCACTGAAATTAATTCCATCCCCCACTTTTGTCCTCAGCAGGGCCAGAGCTTACTCAGATGCTGCCATTCGCAAGAGGGGACATCCTTATGCAGACAACCATGTATGTGCTTTTTCAAAAGGTGTTCCACTAAGCCACCGGGCAGTACAATAAAACACTTTGGCTCCTAATAAGAGAACGACAAGAGTAGTTGGCCTTTCCACATGCAGTTCACAGCAATGATTTTGCTATTCATCAACACCAGGAACAAAACTCATTCAAAGCTGACCCTTTTGGGGGCTCTTAATGTCTTTGCCAACTTGGGATGGACAGTTGGAAATGGAAAATAAGCCAATAGTAAAGGCTCCCAGCCCCATTACCTCTGAGCAGCAAATTTAATGAGGAGCATCTGTAGGAAAGGAGATGCATTGGTGTGGCCATGGACATGCATATGGATGTACATGGCTGTTTTGAGCATGAGGAGTATGTATGGTCCTTAACTAGGGAGTATATTCCAATCTACATGTGGCTCCATAACATGCCTGGATACTTTCCCTGGGATAGTCCCAGCCTCTCTTTTGAGATGCTCCCTCCATAGCAGTGATCTTGTATTCCAGCCACCTTTTTATCCCTGCACATATAAGCTAAGGTTGACCTTCCTATGAGTACAGTGGATCTGCAGCCATGGTATTCCACAGCATAGAGCCTTTTCAGGTGTGACGGTTGGCTGTCTGTTTGGAGGATGGGCTCCCACATCCCCTCTTGCACACAACAGGGGGCCGTGTTGCCTGCTGCTTGCCAGCCTGCACTGGTGCCCAACTATGCAGCAGGCAAACAGGGTTCAACTCATTTCCAGAAACATCATCCCTCTAGATAATCTCACATGCATGCATCTGTGCCATTTCCCAGCACACCATTGCCCTTTCTAGTCACACCTACCCCATTCAGTTCCCTCCTGTGCAGCATCCTTCCCTCTCCCCCCCCCCCCGCTACCCAACTCTAAGCAGCTTTCTGCTTTAAAGCAAAAAGAGCCAACAAATGGCACTTTGACAGCTATTGCTGGGTAGGATCCCTCTCTAATTTGGGCTGTTCTGGAGAGAAATCCCTTAAAAAGATGCCTAGTCCCAGGCTGCTAGCTGCAGCTGCTGGATGGGAGTGATAGAACCATTTGCGTCTATCAGTTTTAGCTCTATTCTCTCCCTCCCTGCCTGCGCTGCCCCCCTCCCATGCCTTTTCACTTTTCCTGGCTATCTCAGCCAAGGAGCAGAACTGACCGGCAGTAAAGAGACCCAAGCCGATAGGCAGCATCTTTCCCCAACAGACCTAGCAGTGAGAATTTGGGCTGTTGTTCATTTGAGACATGAAAGAGCAAGTTCTGCGTATGCCTGTCTACTGGTCTCCTCGGCCTCACATTTTCCGGCATATCCCCCTCCACATTCCCTGCTTTGCCTTTTCCAGCATCCAGGCAAGGGAGAAAAAATCCCAAAGATTTTTCTGTTTTTGTTTTGCTTTGTTTGTTTGCTCTTTCTTTTTAAAATAGCTGACACTGTGGGAGCAAGAGACTCCCCTCTCCCCCAAACAGCGTGATTGTCAAAAGAGCCAGTCCAGGAAACAAACCACTTTTGACCTTTTAAGGCTTGTTTTTACATTTTTATTTTATTTTAAACACAAGCCCTCTCCCAGAAAGCCTGGGGTGTTGTCTGCAAAACACAAAACCCCCATTGCTTATAAAAATTACACCCTGCAGGAAAAAGTTCTCTCATTCCAAGTAATCGCGCCCCCCTCCGCAACTCCTTTCCAACCTTTTCAAAGTAACAGCAAGAAAAGTTTTGTTAACCGGCTGCAAATGTTAAAACTCTAAGGATTAACAACAACAGCAACAAAAACCCCTAACATTATTTAGGAAGACTGGACACTTCCTAGGGTTTTGTGCCCCCCCCTCCATCCGCCGGAGCAAAGGACGTTTCCTCGTTCTTTGCAAAAAAAAACTTGCTTCAGGGTGGTTCCCCCCTCCCCTTTCACTTCTCCTGTTCTTTGTTTAAAAACAAACAAACAAACCTTTATTTTGGTAACCAAACATACTTTCTTTCTGTGCTGGGGCAGCACTTAAAGCACGACAAGGGGGGTGGTAACCCATTATAGCCCTTGTCTAAAATGCTGGTGACTTTGATTTTCCTCTGTCAGTTTTGGATGTTATTCCCTTACTAAGCAGCGTCTCTCTCTCCCCTTCTCTCCCCCCCCCCCAGTAATCACAAACATGCATGAAAAAGAGAGAAGGGGGGGCAAAGGGAAAGTCTTAAATCAGTCCCAAAGCCAGACAGACGTTTTAATCAAATCAAATTAGAATCAGCAGCGGTTTTGGGGTGGGGGGAAGATGAGGCGCATGGCAAGAACCCCCCGCCGCCCCACCCCCCCTCTCAAAACTGAATGAGATGCGAGCCCTTACCTGGACCCCCCCCAGCAACACATAGCATAGTAGACTCAGAGTTTGGGCTGGGGGCGACGCTGCGGGTTAGCAGGCAAACGGTTTTGTTCCGAAGCTCCTGGCGCAGAGTGAAAAAATTGCCTTTCTCCCCGGCTGGCTCTGCCCCCGGTTCCGTTCCTTTTTTTCCCTCCCCCCTTTTCCCTATTTGTTTTGGTTTGTGTTTGCTGGGTGTTAGGTGGGAAAAGTTGTCTGTACGCTTTTTTTTTTTTTTTGGTATGTGTGCAAAGTTTTCACCACTCTCTGTCTCTCTCTCTCTCTCCTCTTCCACCTCCCGTGATTTGCTCTTTTGATTGGTGTCCAGGAATGTAAGAATATAAAAAAGAAAAAGGGGAAAAAAAGTGCATACACCCTCTCTCGAAGCGGCTGCCTTTCCTTTTTCCCTCCCTTCCTTTTTTTTAAATCAAGTGTTAAGCAGAACCAGGTTGCTTTCAAGAATGTATTTGATGCAATTGTATACAAGCGGAGGGTCATTCATTTCTTTCTCCTTCTCTCTCTCCCCCCCCCCACCTCTCCACCCCACATTTGCCACCCACCTCAACATACCCCACTGCAGCTCTTCAAACTTTGGGGTGGGGAGGGGCAAGAGAAAGGTAAAGGAGCCAGCAGTATGCATTTCCCTCAAAGTAAAGAAGGAAGCGGGAGAAAACTTTTGTTTTGTTTTGTTAAAGAACTATCCAGAGGAAATGCCAGCCCACCATACCCCACCCTAACCCCCTCCCAACCCCGCTCTCTAGATCTCTGGATGCTGCCAAGATTTGCTAGTGGCATTTTTTAACAAAAAAAAAGAAGAAGAAAAAGAAGAAGGGGGGGGGTCTTCCAGTAAATGCTGGAGAAATTGAACGTGTTTGTGAGGGCTCAGTTGAGGTTCTCAGTGGGGAGAGGTGGGCTGGCTTCCCTGCGCAGGGGGGGAGGCCTGCAGAAAGGTACCCAGGACTCCTACCTGCTCTGAACTCCATCTGGTTAAAGCCCCAGTCCGGCGCAGCCCTTGAAGGTAGGTGTGTGGCTGGATGCTTCCTTTCACCGAGGGGTCTGCATGGAGTCTGCTGCCTCCTTTATTCTGGGCCAGGATTAATAATCCCATTTGCCAATCCCACTCACTAGGGTTTGGTTGTGGGTTTGGTTTTTGTGTGTGTGTGTGGTTTGTTGTTGTTTTTTAATTTGGTGAAGATATTCACGAAACCTTCCCTTCTACCCCCCCCCTTTCCTCCTTTCTGACGTGTAAAGCTTTAACCACAAAGCAAAGCCCAGTCCCAGAGGGTGGGAGTATGTGGGGGGGCATGGGGGGAGGAGGAGAGGCACCGCAGATTGGCTCCTCTCCCCTACAAAGAGACAAGGCGAGGTGAGTGTGTGAAGCCACCCTGTCTAGGCTGAAATGCCAGATTTGGAAAAGGGAGGTGGAGGGAGATGTGGGGGGGGGGGGAGGAAGATGGGGGGGGAAGGGGTGGGGATAGACGGGAGAAACTGACCCATTCTCTTTCTCCACTTCTTTCGCCTTTCCTCATGCTTCCCGTTCTGACTCCCTGCAGTACTTGCCTGTCTAAGAATCCCCTTGGCCCAGACTTTTGGCCCGGTCTGCGGCAGGCTTTTTGACATCCGCGCCCCAGCCAAGTGCCAAGCAACTGGGGCCGGCGGCTGCCTTCCCACTGCCCTTTTGCAGGAAACAAAACACAATGGCTTGCCAGTGGGTTGTTGTCGGATGCTTGTCCCATTCTCACAATCGGAGTGGTGGCGTTTAGTCACCAGCAGGTGACTAAACCTCCAGGCGACAGATGTCATGAAAGGCTGATGTAGGAGTGAGTACCGAGAGATAGTTTGCTCAGCAGGCAGGCAGTCAAGGGCATTGGTAAGGGGGCCTTTTGTCTCTTTCTCTTCGCCCAGAAAAAAAAAATCATACACATTTGTCTCTCATTCATCCCAGTGTTCTTCCTTCCGTTCCTTTGTGTGTAATATATACATATATAGGTTCTGATCGTAATTCATTAATCAGCAAAAGACTTGTCAGTCCTATTTCAACACAAGGCTTGTGACTCAGCACTCTGCTTTCCAACTTTAGGGGCAACCTCCCTTACGCTGGATGGACTCATTGGAAAGGGACTCTGATGAGGAAACAGGGGAGGCTGCAAAAGCTTTCAGGGGGGGCATTAGGTTTGCTACAGAGGAAGTATTCCTTTAAAAATAGCCATGCAAGTGATATGTATGGGAATGGAAACGTTAATACTGAAGTGATAGCAGCACCCTACTTAATGAAAGATAGTGTTGTATCTCTCATAGAACCCTTACAACTTAGCATAGCTTTCCCCACCCCACCAGTTCTGAGCACTGGTTTGGTTGTTCATATTTGTCCACTTAGTATAACACTGATATGCCCCATTCATCAGGGTTTGCACACATGTAACCATGCAAGCAAGCAATTTTTTTGACAGGCCCCAGTTCTGCAGACCTTGCAGATGCAACATCTCCGTTAGCAAATTGTCAGCATAAGTGGTTCTGATCCAGCAAACCTCCACTGCATTAGTTTGAGTGTTTGCATTCCGTCCCTTCTGCTACCCAGTTGCTGAGCTCTGGGATCGGTGTAGAGGTTGTTTTTTGTTGGGGCTTTTGAGCTGCGTTGAAATGTATTTTCCCCCACCCCATGTTGCTTAAAAAAGTTATCTGACAAAAGAAATTCTCTCTTTGAATTTAAATGGCTAAGAAATTGTTTATTTTCAATTACCCTTCCTTTGATTAGGACTGACTTTGCTGATGGGAGTCTTTCTAACTAGATGAGGACTTTGGAAATAAACTTCACATTTAAAATAAACTATCAAATGTTATTAAAGCTGGCATGTCAGGTATATAGCAAAAATGAAGGAAAAAAGGAACCAAAGCTTGTTTATTCACATTACTAAATATTTACATATTTTGCAAACAAGAAAAGCAAGGGAGAGAAGGGCTTTGTGCTGTACAAGGAAATCCAATCACTTCATCCAAAATTAATTGCGTTCGTGAATATATATGTTTTTTCATTGTTAAAACCTGACTCGTTATTTACATGGAAAAACTATTATAGGGCTTTGAACTTTAGGAAAGAGGGGTTGGGGGACGTATTCCTTTTTTTCCCTTGCAGGCTTTCGCGCAGTGCTTTGTGTAAAAACAAAGGCACTCACAGACACAACTAATTTTAGCATTTCCAGCCCTCCAAGAGCCTTGTGCCTCCAAAAGGTGAAATTTAGCATTTTTCTCAAATGTAGTCTGAGTTTGAACCACTCAGCATTTTAAGTCTTATAAAATGTTTTAAGCTGTGAATTCATGGGCTTTCCATTATTTATTTAAAGTAACTATTCACTTAACTGTTTCACACACCCATTTATTTCTTAGTCATTGGAGATTTATGTACCTCCAATAAGGCCAAGGTGAACTGGTATTTCTTTTGTGTACAGAATAAATAAATCTAAGGTAAGCAGCAGCAGTCCAATTTATATATTTACAAGAAACTGAGTCCTGCACAAAGCGCTGCCTTTTCTTTTTGTCTAGACAGAAGTTTACATGTTTGTAAAATGCGTAGAAGTTTTCAGGCACATCGCTGCCTAGTCCTTGTTCCATGCTGTGTTTTCTTGAGCCTGCTGCAAAAGAGTGCAAAATTAGTTGAAATGGGCTTTGAGGGTTGTATGAGGGAAGGTGCAGTGTGGGACCCAGAAAGGCATATCCCAAGTTGTGAGTTTTTGGTTCTTGAGCTAAAGAAGAGAGGCTTCTATTTGAAGATAAAATTCTTTTCTAGCAGATAAACTCTGAACCTTGAACTTCCAGATTTTATTTTATTTTTATTTTTATTTAAAAAGGGGCATTTGGGAAGCTTGGAGCGTAAAAGACACCCATCATGTGCCAAGGACATGTGAAAAATATGTGACCTGTGCTTTGTCCTTCTGTATTAAAAATGCTCTAGAGCAACAGCCAGCCCTTGAAATCAGAAGGATCCTGTAAAACAAATTGTGACTTAGCTAGAACTGACCACATGCCGTGAAACTGCTAATATGCAGTAGCAGCCAAGGAAATTTCAAAAAAGCTTTGAAAATTAATAGTGAAGGGGTTCACAACATGCTTGTTTCCCAGTACATACAAGCATATTCCTTTACAACAGGGCTGGGAGACCCTGTGGTCCTTCAGATGTTGCTGGACTACAACTCTCATCATCCTTGGCCATTGGCCATGCTGGCTGGGGCTGGTGGGAGTTGGAGTCCAGCAGCGTCTGGAGGGCCATAGGTCCCCCAACCCTACTTTTACAATATAGTTTTTTCACATTCCATGAAACATGGTGGAATAGAGACCCGGATCTAGATCACAGTTCATCAGCTTCCCGTCCTGAATAAGCAGTAGTTGGGTCCAGAAATGTAGACGAGACGCATGCCCAAAGCACACAGTGGGAATTTACAGACTGAAAGAGCAGCAGCTGTGTCATACGACCAGTTTACAAAACTTGTGAAGACAATTTGCATCCTTTGGGTCGTTATGGGTTATGTGAGTTGTAATTTGGTACATCAGAACCTGGGGCAGAGCCACTCCGAATAGGAGAAAGGGCACACGTACCTTAAGAGATTTGCATTCCAGATTAACAGCCAGGCCTGTTTGGTAACTACAGCTGACCCAAAGTGCACATTATTTTGCCTTACAAGACTAAGGGCTCATCCACATTTTGCTTATCCCGGGTCTGAGTGGTTTTCTGCTTGTCTCGTGCTTTCTAGGCACGGCATGGGTCTGAGCAGTTTACCGTTTGCCCCTTTGCTTTCCCTGGAAACACCAGCTCTTTACAGCTGAATTGGAGCAAATATCAGTCCTTGGGAAACCTAATTGACATTTACTCTGATTCGGTGATAAAGAGAGGGTTTTCCTCGGGGGGGGGCGGGGAGCAGTGGAACAAGGGCAAGTGTGGATGAGCCCTAACACATTTGACTGTAGGTACTAATTCTAACCATTGTGGAAGCCAAAAGACAAGGGGAGCCCCTTTTGCTCTCCAAAAAAATACTTGCTTCTCACAGGCAGCTTCCTTCTTAAGGCTTAAAATAATACAAATTTCTCCTCTGCCAAAAGATGTATATTCAAGTGTTCCAGGAATTGTACTTCAAAAAAGCAACCTAACCCTAATTGTGTGGTTGGGAAATACATATTAGTGTATATTTTGTGAGCTTTGTTCTCGTAAGTTTTCTTTTTCAGAACTATTGGTGAGGAATGACATATACAGGACACTGAGAATGTGGGGGAGCATTGGCTGGAGTTTGAGGAGTTATACAGAATGAAGCTCCACTTCCTGGCCACTTTAACCCACCCACAGATTACCCTGGTTTTACAACAGATTCTGCCTTCACCTTTTAAGTGTCGTTCTACAACCATGAGGTCTCAAAACATACTTTTTTAAAAGTGAGATTTTTAGGGTTCTGGCTGGAACACAGATGTTTCCCTGAAGCCAGAGCTGCTTCAGATGTTATAAAACTGGGGGAATAG